GGTTGAGCTGATGCGCAGCGTACCGGACCGCAAACGGCCACAGAAAGTGGGGGGCAGCCGCATGGAACAAGGAGGTACGGGCGACCTCCATGACCAGGCCAATGCGGCGCTCTGCAATCCCATTCTGCTGTGGAGAGGCCGGAAGCGTGAACGACTGCTCAATGCCGTGCTCAGCACAGTAGGCTGCAAAGAGGTCGGAGGAGAACTCACCACCTCTGTCAGAGTGCAAGCGCAGGACAGGAAAGTCCGAGTGGAAACGCTCGCTGAGCTGGAGACGGGCTCTGCGGATCCAAGGGATCAAGACATCAGGGACCTCACCCTTGGTGCGCAAGGGGAAGACCGTGGTGTAGCGCGAGTAGTCGTCAACAACTATCAGGAAGTACCTCTCCTGACCCTGACCACGGACGCGGGCTGGGCCCCACACGTCCATGTGGAGCGTCTGCAAGGGAGCAGTCGTCGGGGAAAACGAGGAGGAGTGAGGAGCGGCGCGCTGCCGCCCCTCCACGCAGTGAAGACAGGGAGGAGCAGGCGAGGGTGGGAGGGGAGGGAGGACTCTGGGAAGACCGGAGACAAGGTACCGGGAGTGCATGGCACGAAGGCGCTGCACAGACGGGTGGCCAAGTCGGTGGTGCCAGAGGACAGTCTCGTGCGCCAGAGAGCGACACGAGCAGGGGGCAGACAGCTGACCTGACGCGGACGCAGACGCAGACGCAGCGACCTGAGGGGACTCAGTGGTCAGTGTGTACAGGTCCGACCCCGGCTGCCGAGTGAAGGTAGCCAAGTGGCGGCCCGTACGAGCACACGTGCAGTGTGTCACGCGCTCGTAGGCAGGGGTGAACTGGTGAACACCCCCGTCCTGGAGTGCACTACCTGCCACCAAGTTCGTAGAGAACGAGGGGAGGTGGAGACCTGACAGTGTGCCCGACGGGACCGCAGGACAGGGAAGGACAGTGGAGGAGGTCGCAATGACCGGACCCCCAGAGGGGTCAGCGAGGGAGACAGCAACTGGCCGAGCAAGCGGCTCAAAGGCAGTGCGGTCACGAAAGAAGCAGCGAGAAGCACCTGAGTCCAATGTGAAGGTGTGTAGTGCTGCCGTCGACTCAGTACCAGGGGGGGCAGACGCACAAGCACCTAGAGCAGCTGCCTCACCAGCACCTGGGGTAGCAGACACGCGAGTACCTGGAGCGGCAGACGCACTAGTCCTAATGCCCGGGTCGGGCGGCACACACAGGTACTCAGCACCCTTTCCACTAGTAGACATCACATACATAGCAATGAGAATAGCATCAAAGTCTAGAGCATAGATATCAATCCCCTTCTTCAGGAGATCAAGCCAGCGGGGCAGCTCAGTGGCCTGAGGGAACTGAACACGCCAAGCGTCGTTGAGACGAGCGAAGCAGCGCTGTGTGGCGTGCGGTCCCCCACACGGCTGACCAGTGCGGTCACCAGTGCGAATGACGTACGTGCAGCTGAAGCCACCCCCCCCCCCCCCCCCCCCGTGCTGAGAGTACCACTCACGGACCTCCTGGGGCGACGGAGTGTGCTGCTGTCCCTGGCCACCGCCAGCGCCTCCACGACCACCACCGCCGCCGCCACCTCCTCGACCACCCCAACCCCTGCCGCCGCCGCGTCCACCGCCACCCCCACCACCGCCTCCGCCCCTGCCACCTCCCCCGCCGCTGCCGCCACCACCCCCACCGCTGCCACTAGCCCCTCCAGTCGCGCCATCACCCCCACCGCTGCCACCGCCCCCACCGCCGCCACCGCCCCCACCACTGCCTCCCCCGCTGTCACCGCCACCGCCCTTGCCCCCTTTGCCCTTGCCGCTGCGGCGCCCGCTCGAAGCAGACGCAGTCCCGACCTTCTCAGCACCAAGGAGGTCGACAGCAGCAGCAGAGGCGATAGAGGGAAGAAGGGGGGAAGGAGAACACCCCTCAAAGAACGGGGTACGAGGGTCGCCACGAGAGGCACCTACAGCGACTATGCTAGCCTCAGCTGCAAGGAGTTCCTTCTCGAGGAGGGCAATGGTGAGCTCAGTGGGGCAGCGAGCTAGGAAGTGGTCCCTGACTGAGCGCAGAGTGTCAGGGAGGCGGGTGACTAGGTGGTAGAGAGTGAGCCAGAGTGGGGGTGGGTTCTTGGCAAGGAACTCATCAGGCATGGCGGCGCGGAAGCGAGCCTCACTAGTGCGGAGGTGCGTAATGAGGTCAGCGACTGTGTGGAAAGAGGCTAAGTCGGGGAACAGGTAGGGAAGAGAGAGACGGCCTAGTGCAGCAGAGGCCGGTGAGGAGTAGCGGGCAACGACAGCAGTGTACAGTGCCTGTGCAGTCTTGTGCTGCCCAAAGTGCTCGCGCTCATCTATCGGCAGGGAGTTGCAAATAGCGAAGCGAGCGTGGGCGTCACGAGTCTGCCACTGTGAGCGGGCAGTGCTGTCAGCAGTAGCAGCAGGAGCAGGAGCATGGCATAGGGCGTGATCGTACAGTGAGATGTCCTCCTTGGCAGTGAGCTGTAGGAAGAGGTGTAGGTCATCTAGCCAGGTTTCGAACTTCACTGGGCGGCCCTCAGCATCGAAAGCTAGCACAGGAGGGCTAGCCATAGCAGTAGTAGGAGTAATAGCAGTAGGGGCACCCCAAAAATAGTAGGCAGTGCGACTCAGGTAGGGCGGCTCGGTCCAGTACGGGCGGCGCGGCTCGGTTCAGGTAGGGCGGCGCGGCTCGGGAAGGGCGGCGCGGCTAGGTTCGGGCGGCGCGGCTCGGTTTGGGCTGGGCGGCTCGGTTCGGGCGGCTCGGTTCGGGCTGGGCGGCTCGGTTCGGGCTGCTCGGGTCGGGCGGCTCGTTCTGGGGGGGGGGGGGGGGGGGCGTTCGGGGCCTCTAGGGGCGAGCACGGGACCGAACGGGGCCTCTAGGGGCGAGCGCGGGGCCGTAAGGGGCCGCTAAGGGCGAGCGCGGGGCCGTTCGGGGCCTCTAGGGGCGAGCGCGGGGCCGTAAGGGGCCGCTAAGGGCGAGCGCGGGGCCGTTCGGGGCCTCTAGGGGCGAGCGCGGGGCCGTAAGGGGCCGCTAAGGGCGAGCGCGGGGCCGACGGGGGCCTCTAGGGAGGTGAGCGCGGAGCCGACAGGGTCGCTAAGGGGCGAGCGCGGGGCCGTAAGGGGCGAGCGCGTGGGCCGACGGGGCCTTAAGGGGCGGCGCGCGAGTCACTAAGGGGCGAGTCGCGAGTCGCGGGGCCTTAGGGGGCCGTGAAAAAACGAGGCGCCCTAGGGCGCAGTTAGGTAGGTCCTAAAAAAAACGGTCCTAGCGAAGGACCTGCTCTATACCATGTTGAAATGAACGGACAGGAATGATTGAACTAACAGTGAAATCAGTACAAGTACCTAACCCTAGAATTGTGTACCCCCTATAGGCTAACCCACTGTAGCCTAAACAAGCACAACATATATAATGTTTGACACACGACTCTCAACGACACGCGGCTCACTGAACTCGTGAGCATCCACATGCTCGACTACAACGTGGAGAGGCCAGATGTCGTGGACATCTGGCGCAAGCAGAAGAAGAGGCAGCCGACAAAATCCCCCGCACCCTTCCAACCAGCGGCTGACAAGAACAAGCCTGAGGCCAGTGCGGACGACGAGGAGGAGGCTGATGTGGCAGAGGATGAGTGAGCCGTAGTAGTAGGATAGGATAGGACATTGTGTACAACATGTCTAGGAATTATATTTGTTACATTTCTAACTATGCAACAGCACAAGAAACAACGCGTACTAACACAACAGGGTTAACGATAAAATTTACCCTGAGGTGCCTGGGTTTTTAAACTGACAGCCTGTGTTACACTGACATTTAAGAGGAAGGCTTGCCAAACACTCTAAATTTCATAGTACAGCCAAAAACGCCTCTGGAAACAAGTGTACTCTAAAACGAAAAAAAACCCCTGATGTGGACTTTTTTTTTCGCCTGTCTGCGTCCTGTCTATTTTCGTCGGGCAAATCCAAAAAATTGCCAGGCGCTTGTCTATTTCGCGTGCGCCTGTCTACGTCGCCACGGAAATGCACGCTCCCCGTCTGGGGCTCCATATATTCCTGGAATGGTTAGTGATTCATTTCATCATCACTAAAATGTGTTTCTTCCATTTCTGGTTTTGATAGTGTGATAAATTTATAAAAAAATACAAGTTTTCAGTAAAAATCCATGCATAAACTTTCAGGAGAGCATGGCTGGATGGATTGAAATAAACCCGAGGAACCAGACACCCACACCACTCACGTCTGAAAAAATTGTCTGAATAACCAATTCAGTATACATTGTAGCAGTTGTTTATAGCTCCTGCAAATTCAGTGTACGATCTACCAGCTCTGCTTCAAAATTGATATAGGCCGTGCAGCGAGGACAGTTCCACGTCACGCGCAAAACTGGGGACAGCGGTACCTTTCAGCTCCCAGAAAGCTGATTGCGTGGCAAATTCTTCTCTGCAGCGAGGCCAAGGGAACCCCCCTTTTCGCCAAGCTGTTTCGTGAAACAGCAAATCTTTCTTCGCATGCCTCCTTTTCATTCGAGAAATCATTATGCGTTGACAAGTTACTTCAATCTTATTGGTCAGTTCGGCTTCGTCATCCCCTCATTTGCTTTCCCTCGATTCTTTCTCAACAGGAGGAACCTACTAGCTGCCTCACCTTGTCCAAGATACTTCACAGGGATTTCACTTCATCATAAATGCTTGCTGCTTAGCGCCTCCACCTCATTTTGCAGGTCTGTCTTTCATCTATAAGATCTTGAGGCACGCTCCTCACGTGCTGTTTGCCTTCTCTTTCCTTTCGCTCCCGTCTTTCTGATACTGCTACGTAGAGACAGATGGCGGCTGCAGCTGTGACAGCGCAGACTTCGGAGGGTGGTTTTCGATTGACCTTGATTAACAATGCAGGATCGCATACGCTCTCCGCTAGCCACAGAAAATGTGTCAGTGTGGCAGGATGGTGTAAAACCAGCGATCTCGCCGGATCACGGCTGGAAATGGCAACGCAAAACGCGACGGCGCTTCGCGCACCGCAGGTTCAGCGACGCTCGATAGTGTCGCAGGCCGCTTCTGACGCAGCCACGGCCACGCCAGACAAAGCTATCGCTAGGGCTCCTCCAGGGTGCGATCTTGTCACCTCAAGTTCCTGTGGTTGCTGGGGTTTAGCGTGCGAATTCTGTGCTTCGATCCTTTTTGGTGGACTTAACCCTTTTTTGAGGCGCCTGCGCGCCTGCAACAGTTTCCACTTCTCCCCTCACCTTGGTTCTCCAAGTCTCTACGATCTCCCTCTCTGTCTCCCTATTCCAAAATGTTGTCCGTCACACGTATCCGTGTTTGTCGGCATTGCGCAAATGTCCCTCAATGCGTGAACATATTCCCCCCCTCCTCACCTGGACCCGATCTTTCAGCGTCCTCCGTCACACGGTCTCCGTGTTTGTCGGCGACGAGAGCGGCATGATCAACCGCATCGCGGGCGTGTTCGCGCGACGCGGCTTCAACATCGAATCGCTCGCCGTCGGGCTGAACAAGAACAAGGCACTGTTCACCATTGTCGTTTCCGGATCGGAGCGCGTTCTGCAGCAGGTGAGGTCTTATGATGTGCGTTAGAAGTAGTCATACTGTCGTGTTCAGACCGGAGCGTTTGCTGCAGCAGGTGATGACTTAGGCGCGTTTGAAGGAAGTCATAGCTGCTTTCGGATCGGAGCAACAGGCGATGCGAGCAGCAGCCGCAGCAGCAACAGGTGATGCGAGCAGCAGTAGCAGCTCGAACGCAAGTACATTTGAGACGTGTCAAAGTTAATCAACGTGTGCCAGGTGAAGAAACACGAACTTCGAGACCTGTCAAAAGAAGTCCTCCGCCCGACTGTGTATTTTTTCCAACAGGTGATGAAGCAGCTGTACAAGCTAATCAACGTGCGCCAGGTGGACGATCTGACGCACGAGAGCCGCGTGGATCGCGAGCTGATGCTCATCAAGCTCGCCGTCACGCCGCAGCAGCGCTCCGAGGTGCTGGAGCTCGTGCAGATCTTCCGCGCGCGCGTCGTGGATGTTGCTCCCAGCTCCATTACCGTTGAGGTGAGCGCGTTGTGGGTGTTTGCGAGGGATTGTAAGTGGGTGTGGTGTGTTTCTAAGGCCCCGTCTCGCCGCAGCTGCGCTCGAGGTGCTGGAGCTGGTGCAGATCTTCCGCGCCGGGGTTGTGGACGTCGCTCCCAACTCGATCACCGTTGAGGTGAGCGCGTTGTGCGTGAGAGAGAGAATGAGTGAGTGAGTATGAGGTTTGGCGTAGTGTAGCCCTTGATTCGAGGTCGCGCCGCAGCAGCCCTTGACTCCGAGGAGCAGCCCTTGACTCCGAGGAGCAGCCCTTGACTCCGAGGTGCGGCCCTTGACTCCGAGGAGCAGCCCTTGACTCCGAGGTGCAGCCCTTGACTCCGAGGAGTAGCCCTTGACTCCAAGGTGCAGCCCTTGATTCCGAGGAGTAGCCCTTGACTCCAAGGTGCAGCCCTTGACTCCGAGGAGTAGCCCTTGACTCCGAGGTGCTGGAGCTGGTGCAGATCTTCTAGTGAGGGGTGAGAATGAGCATGGAACTCGAAGATTGGGTGTCTTGACTCGTGACGCGCATAGGCGCCGCAGCAGCCTTACGAGGTGCTGGAGGTGGCGCGTGGTGGATGGATGTTGCACCCAACTCCATCAGCGAGTGAGCGAGTGAGTGCATGAATGAGTGAGATAGAGACTCACCTGGTGAGTGGGTGAGTGTCAGGGGGTTGTGGGTGGGTGAGTGTCAGGGGGTTGTGAAGTCTTCGAGTCACAGTGGTGTCGCCGCATAGGAGAACCTGGCAAGGTAGCAGCCTTCAAGCACGCGACCAGCGTTCCGTCAACCGTCCCTCTCGTTGTATCCAACTCTTTTCCTTCCATTTCTCTCCTTCCCTCCCTCTCTCTCTCCCTCTTCCCCTCCCTCTTCCCCTCTCTCTCCCTGCTTTGCAGGTGACAGGAGACCCCGGCAAAATAGCTGCCTTCCAGCGCGTCACCAGCAAGTTCCCTCTCATTCCCTCCTCCTCCCCTTTTTTAACGCATTTTCATCTCGCCCCGTGTCTTTTCAGGTGACGGGGGACCTGTAAGATAGCAGCCTTCCAGCGCGCCACCAGCAACTTCCCCTCGATTCCCCCCTCTTCCCACTCCCCATTACAAGGCATTCCTTCTCTTCTTCCTCCTTTTCGCCCCTCCAGGTGACAGGGGACCCCGGCAAGATAGCAGCCTTCCAGCGCGCCACCAGCAAGTTCCCTCTCAAGCAGCTGGCGCGCACAGGCAAGGTGAGGCATTGTTGAACTTGCTGGTTTTTGAGGCGCCTTAAAAATCACCCAGTGAGGCGCCTCAAAAGCCACCAGCAAGTTTCCTCTCAAGCAGCTGGCGCGTACAGGCAAGGTGAGTAACGCATTGGTGAACCTATATCCATCAGTTCTGACCCAAAGCTTCATGTGCTGAAAGCTTGAACCTTGGATCATGGCAATGTAAGCTTGCACACTCGAGCCTGAGGCTCTTAAACTGAACGAGCCGGAGGATATCTTAAACCCGAAACCCACCAGCATTGTTGAGGCTGGTAAAAGTGCCCCTGCACATGCTCAAGCTTCTCTAACCCTAAATGCTTCAAGCTCCTGCCTCTTTTGCTTCCCCAAATCCTGGGCTCCCATGTTTCAATTGTGCTCTTCTTTTGAGGGGGGAACGGAACTTGCATATGTTTTGAAAGAAACTGGAAAGATGAGGATTTTTATAAGACTGACGGAAAATCACTCACAAACTCGTCCAACCCACCCCTTTTTTGAACAGATTGCGCTGCGGAGGGAGAAGGACGAGCGGGTGTACCTCACCACTCTGGGCGGCGAAGTGACGACGGACGTGGAGGACGACATTGAGGCCGCCCGGCAGGCTGCTGCGCTGGCGCTGGCTGGGCGGCGAACTGTGGCAAAGCGGGGGAGTGCTGCTGCTGCCAATGCCGACTCTGATGTGAGTTGAGGGATGGGCGTTGGGGGATGGGCGTTGGGGAATGGGCGTTGGGGGATGGGAGTGGAGGGATGTGAGTTGGGATATGCTCTTTCACGGAGTATGGTCCTGTGCGGTACCCTCCTGTTGGACACTACCTCCCTGCATCGTCTGCGCTAAGCCCAAAACCCTAAACCCGAATTCAGTTGTCCCTACATGCTTTTCAATAACGTGTGTGCTGTCCCTTCCCGATGACGGTTCTGTGTGGTACCCGCCTGTGCCACTGCTTGGCAACGTCTGTCCTAAACCCGAAACCCTTTGCCCCCCTCGTCCCCTTGCCACTCCCAGGGCGATGTGTATGCTACCCCCTCTGATGGCGATGCTGTGTGGTACCCGCCCGTGCTGTCGCCCACATGGGGCAATGAGAACCCGGAGTTCTTCGACACTATGGTGAGGAGTACAGACACAATGAATACCCGCATGTGCTTGTGATGAATTCATGCATGTGCTTGTAATGAGTACCCGCCTGTGCTGTCGCCCACGTGGGGCAATGAGAACCCTGAGTTCTTCGACGCCATGGTGAGGAGTGCAGCCGATATAATGAATACTCCCCTGTGCTTATAATGAGCACATGCATGTGCTTGTAATGAGTACCTATCTGTGCTGACGCCCACGTGGGGCAATGAGAACCCAGAGTTCTTCGACACCATGGTAATGATTCATGAAAAAAGCCCATAAGCCCATAATCTGTACCTTGCCTGTCCTTATAATGAGCACCTGACTGTGCTTATAAGCGGAACCCTCCTGTGCTGTCGCCCGCGTGGGGGGCAATGAGAACCCTGAGTTCGTTTTTGAGACGTCTCAGAAACACTCTCATTTCACGTGGGGCAACTTTTGAGTCGACTCAAAAGTCGTCTCAGAAACACTCTCATTCCACATGGGGCAATGAGAACCCTTACACCATTTCAGTTCTTTGACACCATGGTAATGATTCAATCATACAGCTCTTAGAGAATACTGACCTGTGCTTGTATACGGACCTGTGCTTGTAATGAATACTGACCTGTTGTAATGAATTCTGACATGTGCTTATGATGACCACTTCTACCACCCCTCACTCCCCACTGTTCTGTCTCACAGGAGGGCTGCCTCCAGCCACACACACTCTCTCTCCTCGTTTCTGACACTGCCGGTGCGCTTTTAAATCAACTCAAGAATAACTCTAAACCCCTCAAGAATAACTCTAAACCCCTCAAGAATAACTCTAAACCCCTCAAGAATAACTCTAAACCCCTCAAGAATAACTCTAAACCCCTCAAGAATAACTCTAAACCCCTCCCCCACCCCCATCACCACCCCCTCCCAACATGTCTGTCTCACAGGAGGGCGGCTTCCAGCCTCACACGCTCTCTCTCCTCGTCTCTGACACGGCTGGTGTGCTGAATCACATCACGGGTGTCTTTGCTCGCCGCGGCTACAGCATCCAGGTGTGTCCTCTCGTTCGCTTTTGAGTCGACTCAAAAGTCAGCTCGCTTTTCTACTTGCTGCTCCTTTCCCTGCTGTTGACTTTTGAGTCGACGCAAAAGTCGCCGCGGCTACAGCATCCAGGTGTGTCCTCTCGCTCGCTTTTCTACTTTCTGCTCCTCTCCCTGCTGTTGTCGCGCTCCCCTCTTCCTTCTTCCTTCCCTTCTGCCCTGCCCCTTCCCTCTTCTCTTTCCTTCCCTTATGCCGTGGCCAGCGAATCACATCTCTCTCGTCTATTGATGGTGGTGACAGGGACAGATCAATCCGTCGATAACCTCTTTTCCCTTGTCCTCTCCCTTGTTTCTCTTCACTTGTTTCTCTTCACTTGTTTCTCTTCACTTGTTTCTCTTCACTTGTTTCTCTTCACTTGTTTCTCTTCACTTGTTTCTCTTCACTTGTTTCTCTTCACTTGTTTCTCTTCACTTGTTTCTCTTCACTTGTTTCTCTTCACTTGTTTCTCTTCACTTGTTTCTCTTCACTTGTTCTGCCCTTTCGTCTGGCAGAGTCTGGCGGTGGGCCCAGCAGAGAAGCGGGGGGAGTCGCGGAGCGGATCACCATGGGTGTGCCAGGCTGGGGACATGAAGAAGTGTTTTGAGACGTCTCAAAACACTTCCTCAAACACGCGGATCACCATGGGTGTGCCGGGCTGGGGACATCAACCAATCCTTTTACCGTTCCCTTTTCACTCCCCATCGCGCACACCTCTCGTATCACGTTGCAGAGTCTGGTGGTGGGACCAGCGGAGAAGCCAGGGGAGTCGCGCATCACCATGGTGGTACCGCGCCGGGGGACAGAGCAGGCCATCGGTGACCTCTTGTCCTCTCCCTTGTTTCACCCTTCTCCTCCTCCCCTCCTCCCTTTTGTCCGGCAGAGTCTGGCGGGGGGACCAGCGGAGAAGCCAGGGGAGTCGCGCATCACCATGGTGGTGCCGTTCCAAGGTCAGAGCAGTCCATCGGCCCTGCCCCATCCCTCACACTCTAAATCCCTTGTACCCATTCCCATCTCTCATTTCCTCTGGCAGAGTCTGGCGGTGGGGCCAGCGGAGAAGCCAGGGGAGTCACGGATCACCATGGTGGTGCCTGGAACGGAGCAGTCCATTGGCAAGCTTCTGCGCCAGATTCTCAAGCTTATTGAAGTGATCAGCGTGAGTGGCGGGAAGGAATGCATATATTTATATATACATATATGTATATAATATATAGAAAGCACTCATCCGTGATTTATGTTTGAGCCGACTAACAAGTCAGCTGCTTGAGCACAGAGCAGTCCATCGGAAAGCCTCTGCGGCAGATTCTCATGCTCATTGAAGTGATCAACATGAACGATCTGCCGTAGAATAGATCCTCTGTTGATGCTATGCTATGTTCTTGGTTCACACGCGTGGGAATGGAGAAGCGTGTGTCAGCCAGTGCACAATCATTTTGTTCTTTTTTGTGGTCATTTTTCCTGCTTCTTTTTTTTTTCCGCATAAGTTGATGCTCCATCAAGGTGGTAGCAAGCAGGGATGGGTGGGGAGCTGACTGTTCTCTCCCCCCATTGTCTTCTCCTTACTCCTTGTTGTTTCTTCTCCCTCTCAGGTGGAGGATCTGACGTACATCCCCTATGTGCAGCGCGAGCTGATGCTCATCAAGGTGGCGGCTGGGAGGGGGGAGCCTCGGCGGGAGGTGATGGACATTGCATCTGTCTTCCGGGCGCGTGTGATCGACATCTCACGGCGAACCATGACGCTTGAGGTATGAATAGTCTTATGAAGTGAAGAATCCGCGTGTTCCCTCTCTCCCTCGCTCCCATGCTCTCCCTCACTTTCTCGCGCACCGTGAGCGATCTCGCGTGTGTCCTCTCTCCTTTGCTCACGTAAAGGAGACTTTTGAGTCGACTCAAAAGTCTTTCTCGCGCACTGTGAGCGATCTCGCTTGTGTCCTCTCTCCTTTGCTCGCGTAAAGGCTACCCTTTCCATCCGCCTCCACCCGATTCCCCCCCATTGCTCCCCACTCAGCTCACGTGCCCGCTCAAGAAAATGGCAGGGCTGCAGAAGCTGCTGGAATGCAATGCTTCATCGCCCTTTTCTTCCTCTCCCCCGCTGCGCCTCCCCTTCCCCCCTCCTTCAGCTCACGGACACGCTCATGAAGATGGCTGCGCTGCGCTGCAGGGGCTTCTTGAAGACCACAGCATCCTCATCTCCCTCTCCCCTTTGCAAGTGATAAGTCGACTTTTGAGTCGACTCAAAGATGGCTGCGCTGCGCTGCAGGGGCTTCTTGAAGACCACAGCATCCTCATCTCCCTCTCCCCTTTGCAAGTGATAAGTCGACTTTTGATTCGACTCAAAGATGGCTGCGCTGCGCTGCAGGGGCTTCTTGAAGACCACAGCATCCTCATCTCCCTCTCCCCTTTGCAAGTGATAAGTCGACTTTTGAGTCGACTCAAAGATGGCTGCGCTGCGATGCAGGGGCTTCTTGAAGACCACAGCATCCTCATCTCCCTCTCTCTTCCTTTTGCATGCATCCTTCTTCTCCTTCCCCTCTTCCTTCCCTCCCTCTTTCCCCCCTCAGCTCACGGGCACGCTCAAGAAGATGGCGGCTCTGCAGGGGCTGTTGGAAGACTACAGCATCCTCGAGGTAAGCTGACTCGTTTCTTGGGATGAAGGGGGTTAAATCTTAGACAAGGCAAGGTAAGCTGACACAAGTGCTGCAAAGTCTCTTGGACGACTACAGCATCCTCGAGGTAAGCTGACTCATTTCTGGTGTGATAACTCGTTTCCAGGGTCAGTTCAGTTTCTTAAGTTATGTGAAGTCATCCAGTTGCCACCTCTCCCTCTCACCGCTCCTTGCTTGCTTCTTTCCTCCTTGCTTGCACCAGGTGGCGCGCACAGGCCGTGTGGCATTGTTGCGAGGCAGTGGAGTCAGCACGGAGTATCTTGGCCAGATGGAGCCGCAGCACTCCATCTTCTGAAGCTCGCAGTGTAACATTCTCTTGCTCTCTTCCCTCTTTCCCTCCTCACTCCACCAGGTGGCGCGCACAGGCCGTGTGGCGTTGTCGCGAGACAGCGGAGTCAGCACAGAGTATCTTGGGCAAATGGAGCCTCAGCATTCCATTTTCTGAAGCTGTGTAACCGCGTGCACTACTGTGTGTAACACACTGGGAAACATCTCTCAGAAAGTGTGAAACATGCAGTGTGTAACAGGTGAAACAAGGTGGGTGTAGAGAAGTGTGTAACACACATATGTAATGCAGTTGTGATATGAACCATGCTTAGTACAACTACTATGCCTCATCATAATCTGGCATGGGACATGCTGAGAGTGGCTAGTTGGGACTTGGTTAGATTGTGTTGTAACATTGTGGGCTTTGAAATGACTAAGCAGAAGCACAAAAGTTGATTTTTGGTAAGAGGGAAGCTGAACCGTACAGGAAAACACGCACTTATGGTAGCAATGATCCAGTTTGCCATTGCCCGAACGTGTACTCAATGCTACAGAGAAACACTTATGTGCATCAGTACACATGTTGATGAAACATATGGCTGTTTTGAGGCGAAAATATGGTATGATGGTGTACAATACTATTGCCTACTGTAGCATTTGCTTTGTCTTATCAAACAGCAGTCGCTTGAAAACGAGATGTAGCGGCGCACCAGCTATGGCCTCTTTGGGTAGTGCGGACTGGAACACCACCTGTAAAAGAGAAGAGGATAGAAATCATAGGGCACCTGAAGTGAGGAGCGAGAAAAGGGGTGGGTGGTTCAGCTATCGCCGCTCACTTCCAGAGAGACACACGGGATTCGGGAAACAGATAGCATAATGAAAATGAGAAATTGACAGTGCAGGGTGGCACAGATTCATGCGAGCTTGCCTTGAATTTGCCTGACTTGCCAAACGGAGACTGAATTGTTCCTTGTGCTCCTGCCCAAAGAAAGGAAAAAGGGGTGGTTGAGGCGGAGGAGTGTGCCATGGTAACGAGGTGAATTTTGAGTCGACTCAAAAGTCACCTCGGAGACTTTTGAGTTGACTTTTGTGCTCCTGCCCAAAAATAGGAAAGGAGCGGAAGAGGCGGAGGAGAGAGGGGGCAAAATGTGCTGTCGTGCTGATTTCCCATATTGTACACCCATTCATATGATCTCTCCTGTCCTCTCCTGTCCTCTTCTGATCTCTCCTAATCCTTTCTGTCAACATTATGATACACCCACCTTCCACTGTGGAAACTTGGAGACCCACGAATTTGGAGATGTCGGTTTACTTCTTGAAGAGCCCTCGGCTCGGCCAGTGACCCACCTGCATTTTACTGCAGGGGCTGCCCAAAGAGTCCTCTGCCACACACTCAGCCCCCCCGTCCATGTCACTTTTGAGGCGCCTCAAAAGACCTTGTCACTTTTGAGGCGCCTCAAAAGACCTTGTCACTTTTGAGGCACCTCAAAAGTCCTCTAGTCACTTTGACCCAACTTCCACTGTGGAAACTTGGAGCCCCACGAATTTGGAGATGTCGGTTTCCTTCTTGAAGAGCCCTCAGCGGATGAGAGAATGCGAGTCAACCACCCGGTCGATCACTCCCTCCCGATCAGTGCCCGTGTCCACCCGTTTAACCACCCACCTTCCACTGTAGTGACTTTAAGCCCCACGAATTTGGAGATGTCGGTTTCCTTCTTGAAGAGCCCCCGGCCGATGAGAGAATGCGAGTCAACCACCCGGTCAATCACTCCCTCCCTGGTCTTCAGCTTGTATACACGCAGAGCCTGAGAGGGAGTGATGTGAGGTGGAGAGGTGGAGAAAGAGTGTGAGAGTGAGAGGGGTAAGGGAGTGAGATAAGAGGTGAGAAATTTCTATTCGGTTGATCACTCCCTCTCTAGTTTTCAGCTTAAATACACGCAGAGGCTGATTGGGAGTGAGGCGAGTTGGAGAGGTAAAAAGGTGAACGAGAGTGGGAAAGATGAGGAAACGAGAGTTAACCACTTGGTCAATCACTCCCTTCCTAGTCTTGAGCTTGAATGCACACAGAGGCTGAGAGGGAATGCAGAGCGATGGAGGGATGGGGAGTGAGTGAGACTGGGAAAGATGAGGGAATGGGAATCAACCTGCTTATAATTCCTATTGCCAGGCTTCAGAGCTGTAACTATTAACATAATTATTGCCGAGCCTGAGAGCCAACATAGCTTCATACATACCTGGGGGCCAGAGTGCATAGTGGAAGGATCAATGCAGCCATGGAACATGCGGGGAGAAGTAGGTGGATGGATATGTGCCATACCGTCACTGTACTGTGCCTGTGTGCCTACCAGAATACAGCACCTGAGTGACGTACAGTCCTATACATACCTGGGTGAATTTTTGAGTTGACTAAAAAATCAACTGAGTGCCGTACATTCCCATACATACCTGGGGGCCAGAGTGCATGGTGGATGGATCAATGGGGGCGAGGATACGGCCATGGAAGGCCATGCGGCACGTGTTGTTGTCTGCACGTGGGAGGAGAGAGGTGGATGGATATACAGCATACAGTTGCCGTACCTGTGTGCCGTACCTGTGTGCCGTACCTGAGAGCCTGAGTGCATGGTGGTGGGATCAATGGGGGCGAGGATACGGCCATGGAAGGCCATGCGGCACGTGTTGGTGTCTGCATGTGTGGAGATGGAGGGAGGTGGATGGATGTCAATTAGAGATTGATGGATGGATCATGGAAGGATGGCGCATTAAGTAAAGATGAGCAGCTATCTTTACCATAGGAACATACCGCCCGTATGAGAAACATACCGTAGGAAATGCCGTAAGGCCGTGTTTTAAGACAAGGACATACAAGGACATGACCATCTTTTAAGGCCGTGTTCCAAGGGCATGGTTGCAACTTACGAATGTCAGAGTCGAGGCGAGATGCTATGAGCAAAGCATCACTTGGACATGCAATCTGCATGCACATGCCATGCCATGCCATGCCATGCCATACCGTGCCATGCCATACCATGCCATGCCATGCCATACCATGCCATGCCATGCCAGATGTGATGTGATGTGATGTGATGTGATGTGATGTCATAACATACCAGGAGGTCACTGAGGTCACGACATGCCAAGGTACATGCAAGGAAAGTGTTAGATGGCAGTTGAGAATATCTTGACTCACCATTTTTGTACTAGAAATTCAGTTCATTGTCATAGAGGTATACGCACCTCGGGTGTGTGTGTGTGCACCTCGGATGTGTGTGTGCGCACCTCAGATGTGTGTGTGTGCACCTCGGATGTGTGTGTGTGCACATCGGATGTGTGTGTGCGCACCTCGGATTCAAACACTAGGAGGGCAAAGTGTGTGCGCGATGGAGCCTCAGTTGCTTGCTCCTCGGGCTGCTGCTGGCCTTGAGATGGTACTGTAAAGGGGGGAGGAAGGGAGGCAGCACAGCAGCTCCAGCAGCTCACTCCGATGGCAGAAAATCTCTGTGGGCTGCTGAGCTTAGAGGTGGTTCACAGAAAATCTCTGTGAGCTTAGAGGTGGTACAAAACCACTTTGCATGCACAACTGCTGTGACCTGTCCTGCTCCTCACTTGTAATGGCAGCAGCAGTGCAGCAGCAGCTGCAGCTCTCTTGCAACGGCAGCACAGAACTTCATGGTTTTTTAGTCAGCTAAGAAGTCACGAGAGTGGTGTTGCACTGTGCTGCTATGGAGTTGCTTTTGCAGCAGCACAATGCCTAAGCAGCACATTCACAAAGCATCAGCCTACTTACCAGTCCTTAGTTGCTGCTCTGCGCCTGACAGTGCTGAGAGCGTGTCACTATCTTGTAAATTATCCTGCAAACCACATGCATGCATGCAGCAGCAGAAACGAAGGATCTGTGAGGCGCTACGGTGATTGGTCCAGCCAGGCAGCACTGCTTGCCTGGACTGCTTGCCGCCGTTAACAACGACTTCTTCCCACATATGCAAGGAAGAAAACATAGGAGAGGCGGAACGATTTCGTGTTCTCACAGGGAAAAAGATTTGCGATGATAACTCTTATACACCTCACAGAACCATTCTGGTGTAAGATTCTGTTTTTACCATTTTTGGGAGTTCTATGCACAGGGTTCTGTATCTGAAAGAGTCTGCTTTTGAGTCGCCTCAAAAGCAGACTCATTACACGCGGTTTCTACAGTGAAAAGTTATTTGTTTTTTACCATTTTCGGGAGTTCTATGCACAGGGTTCTGTATCTGAAAGAGTGACTTCTGAGAATTCTCAAAAGTCACTCCAACATAGATGCACCGGGTGCTGTATCTGCAAGAACATACCCTCTTGCTCCCGATAACCCTGGTGAGGGTAAGAGCTAATTGGATAGGTCAAGCTCGAGTTCTTCTCTCACCATGTGAGGGTAATCAAGGGAGAAATCAAACGGCGTGTCTGGCATGTGGAAATGGAAGCGAGGAGGGAGAGAGGGGAGGGGTTGGAGAGGGGGAAAGAAAGAGAGGCACAGGGGAGAGAGGGGTGGTTGTCTGTGCATCGATCTGACAAATAGCGGGCCAAGGTGAGAAAGAAGACAGCTTAAACGAATGCCGAGCACAGTGCTTTTTGGGAAAGATGCAGCACCAAGAGCAGCAGCACAGGAAAAAGGCACCTGATGGTGTACCTGATGCATCTGATGCACTGTTGATGCACCTGTTGATGCACCTGATGATGCACCTGATGATGCACCTGATGATGCACCTGATGATGCATCTGTTGATGCACCTGTTGATGCACCTGATGCACTTCACCTGATGGATGTACCTGATGATGCACCGGTTGATGCACCTGATGATGCACCTGATGCACTTCACCTGATGCTGTAGATGAATGTACAGAGGGATGAGCGAAGAAGGTGACACTTGTCATGACCGTGGAGTGACCCACCGTTACTGTGGTGGGGGTTGGGTGGAGGGAGAGGGAAGGGGACGGAGAGAGAAGCAGGGGGTGGGGTTGGGAGAGGTGGGGGAAAGGGACGGAGAGAGAAGCAGGGGGTGGGGTTGGGAGAGGTGGGGGAAAGGATTCAGCTGAAAAGAAGGTGACACTTGTCATGACCGTGGAGTGACCCACCGTTACTGTGGTGGGGAGTTGGGAGAGGGAAGGAGGGAAAGGGAGGTGGGAGGTGGGGGGAGGGAGGTAGAAGGTAGGGAAAGGGGAGTCTGAATCAGCTCAAAATATAGTGACAGTTGTCATGGCAGTGACCCACCGTTACTGTAATGGGGGGGTTGAGGGGTAGGAGGTGGGGCGTGTGGTCGGAGGTGGGGAGGGGGAATCCCTCAACCCCCCCCATTACAGGAGGAGGTGAGGAGAGGGAGTCTGAATCGGAATCAGCTCAAAAAAAGCGCGTGAGTTGAGTCGATTTTTTAGTCGACTCAAAAATCGACTCAACTCACGAGGAAGTGAGGAGAGGGAGTCTTGATCGGAATCAGCTAAAAAAAAGGGTGAAAGTTGTCATAGCAGTGAAGTGACCCACCGTTACTGCGTTGGGAAGAAAGGGGAGGGTGATACGAGGGAGGTAGACGACTCAGTGAGCCATGTCCGGATCTCGCGGGGAAGAAAGGGGAGGGTGATAAGAGGGAGGTAGACGACTTTTGAGACCCGATATATGGGAGTGACTTTTGAGAATTCTCAAAAGAGGGAGGTAGACGACTTTTGAGATCCGACGTCTCAAAAGGAAGAAAGGGGAGGGTGATAAGAGGGAGGTAGACAGAAGCAGAGTCTTTTGAACTGCCTGAATTGAGTCAACCCAAACAAAGGCAGCATCACAGAGAAGAGCGGGTGAGAGAGTCGGAAAGGGGGAAAGTGAGAGCTGGGCTGGACTTAAGAAGAGTTTTGAGACGTCTCAAAACTCTTCTTCAATCACGAGAGTCGGAAAGGGGGAAAGTGAGAGCTGGGCTGGACTTACCATGAAACTTAGAGTTTGACGTGAGGGGCCCTTTGAAGAATCGGATGGGATGAACGGCTGCGATCGCAGCAGAGAGAAGAGGGACTGAACCTGGAGCAGCCTGCATGCTACAAGGCAGGGGGGTGTTGTGTGGTGTTGAAGAGAGAGTGAGACCATGTTAAGATTTCTAAAGAGTAGCCACGTGTATGAAGATTGGTTTTGAGACGTCTCAAAACCAATCTTCATAGATGTGTCTTGAGACGTCTCAAAACCAATCTTCATACACGTGTCTTGAAACGTCTCAAAACCGATCTTCATACACGTGGGTGTTGTGTGGGGTTAAAGAGTGTGTGAGACAGTGTTAAGATTTCTAAAGAGCACATTGAATCACAACAGACACATGCTGCGCTGCCTTTAGTATTGAGGTGTATTTTGAGGCGCCTCAAAATAAATCACAACAAACACATGCTGCCTGCCTTTAGTACGCACGGCATGTAAATAACGTAACGTTTCCCTCCTTCCCGCTCCCATCTCCCATCCCCTAGAAAAACCTCTTAGGTGAGCAGCATGGCACGTAACTGCAATTCCTCTCTCGATGAGCTTCGGGTCAAGCTGGGTGACACACAGACCCACACGGTCGCCCTGCCAGCACATGAACAAACGGCATTTATAAGCTAAAAAAACACCCTGCAGCACATGGAATAAGGTAAAAAAAAAACCCTGCAGAGAAGCACCCGCACCTGAGAGGCGAGAGAGTGACTGGTCTGCGGAACATCTGCCTGCTCTTGACCTGGGAAGGAGAGCAGCTCTGATGCACCTCCAATGAAGCACACACACACGCACACCAGCCACATGCCTGACATGCATGTCGGATGTACACACCTGGGATGCACGAGTGACTGGTCTGTGGAACATCTGCATGCTCTTGACCTGAGATGGCCTGACATGCCTGACACACCAGTCACATGCCTGACACACCAGTGACATGCCTGACACACCAGTCACATGCCTGACACACCAGTCACATGCCTAACACACCAGTCACATGCCTCACACCAGTCACATGCCTGACACACCAGTCACATGCCTAACACACCAGTCACATGCCTCACACCAGTCACATGCCTGACACACCAGTCACATGCCTCACACCAGTCACATGCCTGACACACCAGTCACATGCCTGACACACCAGTCACATGCCTGACACACCAGTCACATGCCTCACACCAGTCACATGCCTGACACACCAGTCACATGCCTGACACACCAGTCACATGCCTGACACACCAGTCACATGCCTCACACCAGTCACATGCCTGACACACCAGTCACATGCCTGACACACCAGTCACATGCCTGACACACCAGTCACATGCCTGACACACCAGTCACATGCCTGACACACCAGTCACATGCCTGACACACCAGTCACATGCCTCACACCAGTCACATGCCTGACACGCCAGTCACATGCCTGACACACCAGTCACATGCCTGACACACCAGTCACATGCCTGACACACCAGTCACATGCCTGACACACCAGTCACATGCCTCACACCAGTCACATGCCTGACACGCCAGTCACATGCCTGACACACCAGTCACATGCCTGACACACCAGTCACATGCCTGACACACCAGTCACATGCCTCACACCAGTCACATGCCTGACACACCAGTCACATGCCTGACACACCAGTCACATGCCTGACACACCAGTCACATGCCTGACACACCAGTCACATGCCTCACACCAGTCACATGCCTCACACCAGTCACATGCCTCACACCAGTCACATGCCTGACACACCAGTCACATGCCTGACACACCAGTCACATGCCTGACACACCAGTCACATGCCTGACACACCAGTCACATGCCTGACACACCAGTCACATGCCTGACACACCAGTCACATGCCTGACACACCAGTCACATGCCTCACACCAGTCACATGCCTGACACACCAGTCACATGCCTGACACACCAGTCACATGCCTGACACACCAGTCACATGCCTGACACACCAGTCACATGCCTGACACACCAGTCACATGCCTCACACCAGTCACATGCCTGACACGCCAGTCACATGCCTGACACACCAGTCACATGCCTGACACACCAGTCACATGCCTGACACACCAGTCACATGCCTCACACCAGTCACATGCCTGACACACCAGTCACATGCCTGACACACCAGTCACATGCCTGACACACCAGTCACATGCCTGACACACCAGTCACATGCCTCACACCAGTCACATGCCTGACACGCCAGTCACATGCCTGACACACCAGTCACATGCCTGACACACCAGTCACATGCCTGACACACCAGTCACATGCCTGACACACCAGTCACATGCCTCACACCAGTCACATGCCTGACACGCCAGTCACATGCCTGACACACCAGTCACATGCCTGACACACCAGTCACATGCCTGACACACCAGTCACATGCCTCACACCAGTCACATGCCTGACACACCAGTCACATGCCTGACACACCAGTCACATGCCTGACACACCAGTCACATGCCTGACACACCAGTCACATGCCTCACACCAGTCACATGCCTCACACCAGTCACATGCCTCACACCAGTCACATGCCTGACACACCAGTCACATGCCTGACACACCAGTCACATGCCTGACACACCAGTCACATGCCTGACACACCAGTCACATGCCTGACACACCAGTCACATGCCTGACACACCAGTCACATGCCTCACACCAGTCACATGCCTGACACACCAGTCACATGCCTGACACACCAGTCACATGCCTGACACACCAGTCACATGCCTGACACACCAGTCACATGCCTGACACACCAGTCACATGCCTCACACCAGTCACATGCCTGACACGCCAGTCACATGCCTGACACACCAGTCACATGCCTGACACACCAGTCACATGCCTGACACACCAGTCACATGCCTCACACCAGTCACATGCCTGACACACCAGTCACATGCCTGACACACCAGTCACATGCCTGACACACCAGTCACATGCCTGACACACCAGTCACATGCCTCACACCAGTCACATGCCTGACATGCATGGACGCACACACGCACCTGGGATGCACGACTGACTGGTATGTGAAACATCTGCATGCTCTTGACCTGGGAAGGAGAGCAGCTCTGATGCATCTCCAATGAAGCACACACACACACCAGCCACATGCATGGTCGCACGCACGCACCTGGGATGCCCAAGTGACTGGTCTGTGAAACATCTGCAAGCTCTTGACCTGGGAAGGAGAGCAGCTCTGATGCATCTCCAATGAAGCACACACACACACCAGCCACATGCATGGTCGCACGCACGCACCTGGGATGCCCAAGTGACTGGTCTGTGAAACATCTGCAAGCTCTTGACCTGCGTGACTTTTGAGTCGAGTCAAAGGTCACCTCGCACGCACCTGAGAGGCGAGAGTGACTGGTCTGTGAAACATCTGCATGCTCTTGACCTACATGCAGGAGGAAGGATATCACGTGGTGGGTGGGATGGGATGCTGGCACTGTTAAGAATCACATGTTGAGAGGTAAGGATCATGGGAGATGAAGTGCTGTGATGAGACATGCTGTGATGACTCCTAAGACATGCTCTGCACCACATCTGATTCGTATCGAATTGACTTTTGAGTCGACTCAAAAGTCACCTCTGCACAACATCTGATTTGTAAGTCGAATTGAAAATCTGACGTACCTTCTTCTGCAGCTTGAGGAGAGGGAGCTCCAGCGAATCATTCACTGCCACGTGGCCTCTCAGCACTGTCCCTGTCATCACTGTGCCCTGAGTTGCAAACAAGTGTTTGGCAAATGAGGACGTGGCAAGAAGAGTGTGAGGCGTTAAGAGGATACCTGTAAAGAGGACGCATAAGGGTGAGCGTGATGCCTCAAGAATACACCTTCAAGAGGACGTGTGCATGCATATGCATGTAGGAACCCCTGACTTACATGCACCTGTTAAATCACCTGACGGCTGGTTGAAATCACCTGACGGCTTGTTGAGATAACCTGATGGCTGGTTGAAATCACCTGGCCTTTGATCGGAAAGCAGTGGTCTATGGCAAATAGGAAAGGCCCCTCTGACGACCGAGATATGGCTGGAAAAAGAAATCAAAGGAAAGGGGGGAAATGAAAAGTTTACGGGAAGGAAGGGAGAGGAAAGGAAAGGGAGGGTAATGCAAAAGGAAGAGAAAGGGAGTGCAGCGAAAGGGAGGAAACCAACAAGGTCTCTTCTTCCCTTCCTTTCTGGCCGTATGAAAGGAGAACGGACGCCTATCACTCACAAGGTACCTCGTGCCATGAGCTCGTTAATGACGTCAGCTATGCCCTCTGCTGCTGCTGGTCCTGCTGCTGCTACTTCTGAGGGGTGTCAGAGTTTGAGGGGTTTGAAATTTCACTCACAGGACACCCGTGCCATTAGCTCGTTAATGACGTTAGCTATGCCCTCTGCTGCTGCTGCTGCTGCTGCTGCTGCTGGTGCCGCTGATGGCACGGCTGCTGCTGCTGTTGCAACCATGGCAGCATCGGCAAATTTGGTTCCTTTCAACGTGGCTCGCAGTCTCTTCCTCATCTGCGAAAGAGATGGGAGAGAGATGTAAGCTCCATTTAGGACAGAGACATGCTGCTGCTTGTGCTGCTTTGGCTGATTGCACGGCTGCTGCTGTTGTAGCAGCCATGGCAGCGTCGGCAAACGTGGTTCCTTTCAACGCGGCTCGCAGTCTCTTCCTCATCTGTAAGAGTGAGGGAAAGAGGTACAATGAGAGACACAGTTTGAGAGTTTGAAAGAGTGCAAGTGGTTGATAGGCAAACTTGGTGCCTTTCAACGTGGCTTGCAGTCTCTTTCTCATCTGCGAGAGTGAAGGAGTGAGGTGCCATACTTGGTGCAATTAGAGATACAGATTGAGAGTTTGGAAGACTGCAAGTGGTTGATTGCACACTAGCACACTTGATGCCTTTCAGCGTGGCTCGCAGGGCTCTTCCTCATCTGCAAGAGTGAAGGGCGAGGGATGTAATACATGGTGCAATTAGAGAAACAGTTTGAGAATTTGAAAGAGTGCAAGTGGTTGATAGGAGCAAGAGACATGTGTAAAAGCAGCGTGAGGGAGGGATGTGCTTCGAAGCAACATGAGGGACAAGGGGGTTATTGCGCAGTAATTTGTGCGATGTGCACATCAATCCAAATTAATCAATATGAATCCATCTATCCGTATAAATCCAATCCACATCAACTTCTTGCATGGAAAGGCAACAACGAGCCTGATACGGATACTGCCATGGTAGAAAACCCAGAATACTGGCCACCAGTTGCCATACGGCTCATGGGGGAGGAAAAAAAAAAAAAGGGTGAACTAATCTACCCATCAGCCATCCATGGCCTTACCTTATCGATCTGTGCTTGCTTCGTGGCAGCAGGCAACAGGTCCTGGTCAAGGGGAACGGAACGGAGAGCAGAGGATTCATGGAGAAGGGGAAAGGAGTTAGAAAGAAGGGAGGAAAGCTGGCATGGCATGGCATGGCATGGCATGGCATGGCATGGCATGGCATGGCATGGCATGGCATGGCACGCCATGGCATAGCATGGGTTGGTATGGCATGGCATGTAATGGCAGGGAATGGCATGGCATGTCAAAAAATGAGACAGCATAATGAGTGTATGAGCCTATGGGGTACCGTTTTATTGAGCACAACAACAACCATCTCCTTGGTGGGAGACACCTCACCCACTACTTTTGAGCCGCCCCAAATCAATTGTCGCCTGAAATCGCCCTGCATGCTTACCGTTTTGTTGAGAACGACAACCATCTCCTTGGTGGGAGACACCTCACCGACCACCAAACACTGCACATGGACACAGGGGCAGGGGAGAGGCGGGGAGAAGCAGGGAGAAACAGGGAGAACCAGGCATGAAGACGGGACTTGAGGGCATGTGTGGTTCACAACAACCATCTCCTTGGTGGGAGACTCCTCGCCCACCACCAAACACTGCACACGCACACAGGGGCAGGGGAGAGGCGGGGAGAAGCAGGGAGAAACAGGGAGAACCAGGCAGGAAGACGGGACTTGAGGGCATGCGTGGTTCACAACAACCATCTCCTTGGTGGGAAACTCCTCGCCCACCACCAAACACTGCACACGCACACAGGGGCAGGGGAGAGGCGGGGAGAAGCAGGGAGAAACAGGGAGAACCAGGCAGGAAGACGGGACTTGAGGGCATGTGTGGTTCACAACAACCATCTCCTTGGTGGGAGACTCCTCGCCCACCACCAAACACTGCACATGAGCAGGGGAGAGGCGGGGAGAATTGGGAAGAAGTGGGAAGAAGCAGGAATAATCAAGAAAAAAAGAAGGGTTGTAATCACGGAGAGAAACGCCGGAGCTGAGAAGAGAATGGAGGAGAAAGAATGCGTTACAGATGTATAAACTGTCATTGACGTCCTTTCTTTAGTTTCGGAGGGTTATTGTAATAACCTTATTGCTATTATTAATTTTTATGGGGGGGAGGGGAGGAGGGGGGGGGGGAGGGGGGGGGGTAGGTTTTCTCACCTCTGCAGTCTGCGTCTGAATGCCCTTGGTGGCATCGACCACAAGCAGCATCATATCAATGATCTGTGCGCCTGATGGGATGCGGTGTGTGGGGAAAGGGGGAGTGACGAAGCGAGGAAAACTAACAAGTCATACACGGGGATAGCTTGCTACTTGGTGACGTCGACCACAAGCAGCATCATATCGATAATCTGTGCGAGATGGGATGGGCTGGAGTGTGGGGAGTTAAGGGAATGGGGGGTGGGGATGACGACAACTGAAAAGCATATACCCGTTGTGGGGATAACATGAAACCACATTTGAGGCGCCTCAAATGACGACAACTGAAAAGCATGATAACATGAAACCACAACGGGTATGGGGCACGAGCGATATATCCGTTGTCATAACGGATTGCTGCTGGCATAAGCAGCATTCCTCCTCGCTCGCTCGCTCACTCGCTCCAACTCTCCCTGTTCTAGTCAACTTGATAAGTCAACATCATTCAGGCAGATATGACAGCCGGGACTGTAACAGATATTACAGATATCCAATCTGTAACAGCATGACAGCAGGTGAAAGGCGGACCTCCAATGATGGTGCGGATGAGGGAGGGAGGCATGGCCGGGGGCCGGGGCAGTCTACGAGTAATGTGAAGATGCGGGTGAGGAGGGGGGCATTGAGGCATTATCCGACATACTTGAAAAGCATGAAAATGCTCCGACATACTTGAAAAACATGAAAATGCTCCGACATACTTGAAAAACATGAAAATGCTCCGACATACTTGAAAAACATGAAAATGCTGACGGGAGGTGAGGGACGGACCTCCAATGATGGTGCGGATGAGGGAGGCGTGGCCGGGGCAGTCAACGAGAGTGAATTGAATCTTTTCGAATGGCAGCTGACCAACAAGGGATGGAGGGACGTCCACCTGGCAAAAGGGTGCGAAGCAAGGAGTGGAAAGGAGTGGATAGGAGCGCAAAGGAGTGGTGCAGTGACAGGATAGCGCAGATGGGCTGCACGAAAACCACTGGAGAAGCTACTTGGAAGACGCACGGAAGCTGCCAGTAAGGTACCTGGAAGGCGGAGAACCCGAGGTCGAGGGTGATCCCCCTCTCCGCGCTCTGCGGGTGCTTGTCCAACGCGGCGGTGCTCAGCAGCGTGCTCAGCGCCCTGGCTGGGGGGGTGTGTGGTCGGAGGGGGCATGGGGAGACACGGCAGACTCAGGTAAGTGCGCAGGCAGTTCCCCCCTCTCCCTCTTCCCCTCTCCGCGCTCTGCGGGTGTTTGTCCAACGCGGCGGTGCTCAGCAGCGTGCTCAGCGCCCTGGCTGGGGTGGGGTATATAGGGAGGGTATGGGGGTTGTAAGGGGGTTGCACGGGTGTTGCACGGGTGTTGCACGGGTGTTGCACGGGTGTTGCACGGGTGTTGCACGGGTGTTGCACGGGTGTTGCACGGGTGTTGCACGGGTGTTGCACGGGTGTTGCACGGGTGTTGCACGGGGGCATGGGGATACACTCACGGACATACTCCCCCCCTCTCCCTCGTTTCCCACTGCGGGTGTTTGTCCAACGTGGCGGTGCTCAGCAGCGTGCTCAGCGCCCTGGCTGGGGTGGGGACATTTGAGAGGATATGGGGCATTGGGAGATGGCGGCATGGCATGGAGATATGGCATGGGGGCATGGGGAGAGAGTCGGGCACAGTGTACGCAAGCAACGGCAGAGTTTTTTCCCCTTTCCGCTAGCCTTGTGTTGCCAGTTCAAAAAACAAGATCTAAACTGAGCTCTAAGTCCACTGCAACGGCAGAGTTTGTTCCCCTTTCCCCCTCGCCGCGCTCTGCGGGTGTTTGTCCAACGCGACCGTCCAGAAGCATGCTCAACGCCCTGGGATTGAAGAAGGGTTTTGAGACGTCTCAAAACCCTTCTTCAATCACGTTTGTCCAACGCGACCGTCCAGAAGCATGCTCAACGCCCTGGCTGGGGTGGTGAGGGGAGAAATGCGGAGGGGTATATGGACTGGGGAGCATGGAGCATGGGAACAGACTCGGGTGTACTGCCCTCCCCCTCTCTCTCTCTCCGCTCGCTCTGCGCTCTTTTCAACGCGGCTGTGCTCAGCAGCGTGCTGAGCGCCCTGGCTGGGGAAGGGGGGGGGGGGCGTGTGGAGGGGGGAGAGGGTGGGACGTCATGGGGAGGGGGGCATAATACTACTCCGGCTTACGTGGGACGAATTTCGAGTCGTGTTGCCACGTGTTACTCGGCTCTCACCGGGGTCTCTTCTTGTTTTTTTTTTTAAGGTCTAAATGTCTTGTGAGAATTCTCAATCAATTCGGTACGTGTCGGCTCGGCTCACCGAGGCTAGTTTTGCCGCTGTCGATGTGCCCCAGAATGCCAACATTCACGTTGAAGACACGTGGCGAGGTATTACTCGCTACGACAGGTGGAGGATCACTCGATGGCGACGGCGGCTCCATCGCTCAGAGGTCGTCGCACGAAAGATGTCGCACGGGAGGTGGTCGTCGCAAAAGTATGGTCGTCGCAAAGGTATGGTCGTCGCACGGTAATTACGGTCACAGCCGATTGCCGTCTGTACGCTTTAATTCAGCGATTAGTACTTGAGGTGAAAATATAAGTTGACACCATCATACACAACGTACACATAAACAGAACTAAGCAATAGGCACATCCGACATCGATGTATTGAAGCTCGGTGTGGCAATAGGCACATTAATGGTAAAGTGGTAAGCAAATTCCACTGTTATTAAAACATTGTTAACTTTTTAACATATATTTGCAGTGTCCAAACAAAATGAAGGAAAGCTCATGAACACCTCATGGAAAAACAAGAATGCTAACTGAGAATGCTCCCATGAAGCATGCATAAGAATTCCAGCTCCTGTAAGATTACCAAATTTTGAGTCGCAACTTGTTCCTGTGGGAGTCTAGCTACTGAGGCATCTCAAACAAGAAAACGTGAGCCTTGTTTTCCCCGAGGTGCCTCCTAAATTTTTTTGTTCCCATCGGTGCACCCCACCCCTCCCATCCCCCCATTTTGGCCTCGCCCTCTCTCCCAATAAGGCGTTGACCTCCACACTCAATCCCTTTCAAGCCTGGCTCTCACACCCCCTCACACTCTCACACCCTCACACTCACACCCTCACACCACCGCACCAACCACCCTGCTTGCTTTGTCTAAGTAAAACTCTCAACTCAAAGGGGGCATTTAGCTGCACAAACAAACCCCTTTTGCTACAGATGACGCCCTCCTGCCACCACAAATGACGCCCATCAGTTCCCACCAGGGCTCCTATCATGCCAAAACCTATCAGTTCCTATCATGCCCTTCCTTCTTCCAAAACCTCTTCAACTCATAATCCTTCCTTTCTGTCCCTGCATATCACACACCACCCTCAGTCCCTCCCACCAGCACTCCCATATCCATGTCACCGCTCACCCCTCACCTCAACCCTTCTTTCCCCAGGAAGTGGATCGCCACACCGGCCCCCCTTCAAGCTTGCCTCTGATGTCAGCCTCTCCCCCACCCCCTTGCCCTGCTCCTCCCCCTGTCACCACAACTCCCGCCCCCAGTCCCCCCAGTACTCCCATATCCATGTCACCACTCACCCCTTCTTTCCCCAGGAAGTTGATCGCCCCACCGGCCCCCTTTCAAACTTGCCTCTCGCACCGCCATCGCCACTCCACACCACAAATGACAACAACCATCAGTTCCCACAACAATACCCATGTCACCACAGCTCCCAAATCACCCCTTCTTCCCCCACCAAGTTGATCGCCACACCAGCCCCCCTTCAAACTTGGCCCTTGCACTGCCGCCAAACCTGATATCCGGCCTCGTCTCTCCCCCACCCCCTTGCCCTCCTCCTCCTCCTCCCCGTGCTCCTGCACCTCCTGCTCCCCCTCCTGCTCCCCCTCCTGCTCCCCCTCCTGCTCCCCCTCCTGCCCCTCTCTCCACTCCCCCTCTGCTCGTGCTCTCAGAACCTCCACCAGTGCTCGACCCAGCCTCAGCCCCTTTAAAGCTGACTAGCTTCTTAAACAGCCCCTCGGGCTTCAATATCGGCCCCTGCTGCTGCGGCGGCGGCTGCGGCTGCTGCTCTGCTATCCCACTCCCGTCCCTCTCACTCCCCTCCTCTCGACTGCTGGCAGGACGCTTGAAGCTGGGAGCACGGAGTGCACTGCCCGATCTCTTAAAACTGCCCGTTTTGCTCAAGCTGCCCGACTGAGCCAAGCCCGCTCCTGCACCCAGGCTTCCAGCCCCATCCCTATCTCGAGAACCACCCGACCCACCAGTCCCACCAGACCCAGGCCTTTTGAAACTCTCTGCTTTCATGAAGCTTCCTTTCTTACTCTCCAGCCGTACAAACTGCTTCGCCCTCCCTTCCTGCCCATACTCCTGCCTCTGCTGCTCCCGCTCTCCCGTCACCTCCCTGATCCCTTCACCTCCAGGCACAGAAGCGCTCCGGAACCCTCCAGCCCGAGCCACAGGCCCCCCCTGGAAAGCGTTGGACTGTTTGAGCGAGGCTGACCGCATTGACTCTGCCCGGAACGACGCTGCCCTCTTGACTGGCGTTGACTCCCTTCCCTCCCTTCCCTCCCTTGCCTCTCTTGCTTCTCTCGCCCCCTCCTTGCCAAGGTTAGACTGCTGGAAAGACTGTTGCTTTCGGAACAGATCTGCTTTAAATGAGGTTGTTGACTTGAGAGAGCCTGCCCTAAATTCGCCGTTTTTGAAAGAACCTCCCTGCGACGCGCTTCCCCTGGCGAACCGCCTCTTGAGTGACTTGCTTGACTTGAGATGACCGCTGCCGCTGCTGGTTGGTCGGTCCGCATTCTTGAAACTCCTCCCGCCCATGCTACCACCTCGGTCGAATCCTGCACCCCCTCTCTCCCCTTCTTCTCCAAAACTTCTGAGGCGCCTCACAAGTTGACTGGTGCTGGTGCTGCCTTCAGCGTTCTTGAAACTCCTCCCACCCATGCTACCAACTCGGGCAAACACTCCCGCTATCTCCCCTTCCTCTCCAGGACCACCACCGTTGAACCCAGCAGCAGCACCATACCCGCCAGCACCACCACCACCACCATACCCAGCAGCAGCGCCGTAGCTGTCAAATTCAATGTGCTGCAGCTGGTTGGTGACCAGAGCAGAGTGCACGTCAGGGGGATCCTTCCACCCCAGCCCCACGAGCAGCGCGTGAAAGAAGTTGATCTCCATCATCGTCTGCAGCCCCGAGCGAATGCTGCCCCACACCCCGCCTGCACCCTTCGTGCCCTTGCTGCTTTCCGTGCTTCCTTCCTCTGCCTTGCCCCTCCTGGACCTGGAGGGAGGGAGTATCAGCAAAGGGGCGGAAAGGGGGTAGGTGGGAAGGGGGGGGGGGGGGGGGGGGGGAGGAAAGCAGGCAGAGAGAGGAGTGCACGTCAGGGGGGTCTGTTGGGTCGGACCCTCCTTCCACCCCAGCCAGCCCCACGAGCAGCGCGTGGAAGAAGTTAATTTCCATCATCGTCTGCACTCCCGAGCGAATGCTGCCCCACGCTCCGCCTGCGCCTCCCTCTTTTGCTCCCTTGCTGCCTTCCGTGCTTCCTTCCTCTGCCTTCCGTGCTTCCTTCCTCTGCCTTCCGTGCTTCCTTCCTCTGCCTTCCGTGCTTCCTTCCTCTGCCTTCCGTGCTTCCTTCCTCTGCCTTGCCCTTCCCTGGAGATCCTGCAGTGAGAATCAGCGCAGGGGAGGAACGTGGGCGGGGTGGGGGAGAGGGAAGAGGGAGAAACCGTGGTTGTCAAAGTCAATGCCATGCCTTCTCCTTCCTGGACGACCTGCAGTATAAGCCAACCGGCACAGTGCAGTACACCTGCTTTCTCACCTCCTAAACCTTGCAGGGAGTTATTGAGAATTCTAAAAAACGACCTGCAGTATAAGCTAGCCCGGCACATGTAGCGAGGTTGTTTTTGAGACGTCTCAAAAACAACCTCGCTACTCCTGGACGACCTGCAGTATAAGCCAACCCGGCACAGTGCAGTATAAGCCAACCCGGCACAGTGCAGTATAAGCCAACCCGGCACAGTGCAGTATAAGCCAACCCGGCACAGTGCAGTATAAGCCAACCCGGCACAGTGCAGTATAAGCCAACCCGGCACAGTGCAGTACACCTGATTTTTCACCTCCTCAACCAAACAACTCACCCTGCTTTGCTTCCCTCCAGTTCTTCCTTCAGCTCCTTCTCCAGCTTCCGGCAGTAGCTCAGAATCCTGTACCCCGTATAAGCCGACATCGCGCAGTACACAAGGCAGCACAGCACCGCGACCGCGCTATAAATCACAAAGAGCGTCCAGAAATTCTCAGGGCCAAGGCTGGTGGAGGAGACGGAGGGCCCGAGGGAGCAGGAGGTGGAGCCCTTGATCCAGAAGTCGTGCATGCTCTGCAGCTGCCCCGACTGCGCCAGCTTTGAAATGGCGATGGAGAGATCGTATGGTACGCGCATGTCCTTGTGGAACGCCTGGGGAGGTGTTGGGGGGAAGGAAGAGGCGGGGGGCAGGGGCAGGGGGGCAGGGAGGGAGCGGGACAGGGGAGCAGGGGGGCAGGGGAGCAAGGGAAAGAGGGAAGAGGAAAGTGTCAGCGAGTGGGAGCGGGAGGAGGGAGGAGACGGACGGAGGGCCCGAGGGAGCAGGAGGTGGAGCCCTTGATCCAGAAGTCGTGCATGCTCTGCAGCTGCCCCGACTCCGCCAGCTTTGAGATGGCGATGGAGAGATCGTATGGTATGCGCATGTCCTTGTGCAACGCCTGGGGGGTAAGGATGGGGAGGGAAATGGAAAAGGGAAAGCAGGGGCAGGATTGGGCAGGGAGTGAGTAGGGAAAGCTCTGAGATGGCAATGGAGAGATTTGTAGGGCATGCGCATGTCCCTGTGGAATGCCTGATGGAGGAGATGGGCAGGGGGCAGAGGAACAAGGGGAGTGGGAACAGCTTTGAAATGGCGATGGAGAGATCGTAGGGCACGCGCGTGTCCTTGTGGAACGCCTGTTGAGAGGTGGGGGGAGGACGGGGGTTTGGGGAGGGGCAGGGGAACAGGGGGCGGGGGAGCAGGAACAGGTGGGCAGGGGAGGAGAAGGGAAAATATCAGCAGGGGGGAGGGGGAGGAGGGAGGAGACGGAGGGACCAAGGGAGCAGGAGATGGAGCCCTTGGTCCCTCCGTTTCCTCCCTCCTGATCCAGAAGGGAGCAGGAGATGGAGCCCTGATCCAGAAGTTGTGCATGCTCTGCAGCTGCTGCAGTAGCCAGATTCAGTATGCGGCGAGAGAGAGAGAGAGAGAGAGAGAGAGAGAGAGAGAGAGAGAGAGAGAGAGAGAGAGAGAGAGAGAGAGAGAGAGAGGGAGGGAGGGAGGGAGGGAGGGAGGGAGGGAGGGAGGGAGGGAGGGAGGGAGGGAGGGAGGGAGGGAGGGAGGGAGGGAGGGAGGGAGGGAGGGAGGGAGGGAGGGAGGGAGGGAGGGAGGGAGGGAGGGAGGGAGGGAGGGAGGGAGGGAGGGAGGGAGGGAGGGAGGGAGGGAGGAGAGAGAGAGAGAGAGAGAGAGAGAGAGAGAGAGAGAGAGAGAGAGAGAGAGAGAGAGAGAGAGAGAGAGAGAGAGAGAGAGAGAGAGAGAGAGGCATCTGCTACTCAAGCAAGATCCAACAAAGCCGCCCGTCCAGCCAGCGTAGGACGGACGCGGCTGCGGCTACAAGGTCAAGCGGGTCCTCCTGAGCAGACTCGGCAAGCCGTGCCAAAGCCCCAGGGCCAGGGCCAAGGGCAGCCCCGGGGGAGCCAGGCACGAAGCCAATCAGGGGGAGGTACTGCTGCAACTCCTCCGCGGCCGACACTGCCGCCGACTGCTCCGCGGGCTGCATCGCCTCGATCTGCACCTCCTGCTGCACCAGGGTCACGTGAAGCTGGTCGAGCACGTACGACAGGAGCGTCAAGCAAGTCCCCACGTGCATCACGCGCTGCTCGACGAGAGACGGAGGCTCACCAGGAACCACCGCTGAGGGAGGAGGCGGGGCAGGAGGCGTCACCGGTCCCCACTGATGCTGCACAGGGGGACCGCCATAGGGGTACCGATGGAACGACGGCGGGCCAGGTACTGACTGAGGGTTTCGTACGTGCAGGAGAGGAGACGGAGGAGCATGGAATACCGAGGGGAGAGGCTGCTGCGGACGGAGGGGCAATGGAAAACGACGGAGTGGAGTTTGAACTGGCAGTTGCTGTGCTACCCTCAATGGCGGCTGCGGGGAGGCCTCCGGTGGCTGATGCTGATGTGCCTGCGGCGGAGACGGAGGCAATCCCGGTGTCTGCTGGAGGTCCTGCCGCTGCCTTTGACGGCGGCTCAGTTTCGCCCTCTGCCATCCCGCGGGATGCACAGACGGAGGTTGAGGAGACGAGGCTGGGCGCGGATCCGGAGCTGACCGCGGAGGTGGCGATGTCCGCGTCACCGGCACCGGTAACGCCGACTGTGCTGGCGGCGGCGGTGTCTGCTGCGACTGGGGAGCGGGGCCATGCCCCGACGGTGGAAGGCGCGACGACTGCCGCTGTCGTGGCCGCAAGCAGGCAGGAGCACGGCCAGGCGGAGGGAGAGTTTCCGGGACCCGCGAGCGGCGTTTCTTCCGGCGCTGCACGTGCGAAGTCGAAGACAAGGCTACGGGCCCAGCCAGCGCCGAGACGGCCCGGAGCAGGGCTGGGACCTGGCTCCCCGGGACCCCTCCGGGGCTGGCTTGTGCAAGGGCAACCGCCATCAGAGCGAGCGCATCGGTCGTCATCGTTGAGCCAGCGGGAGGTGCGCGAGGAGGCCGAAGCTGGAAGCCGCCCGCTAGGAAACACCCGTGGTGCTCCTGCACTCAACGCGACACCAGCGACGGCGGCACACGCTGAGGCGCCCAACACAACGAACGCCGTCGCGCACAACACCCGCCACGCGACGCGACGAGCGGCAATAACCTGGGGACCGCCCCGGGGAGGCCGGACGCCTTGGTTGCCGGCGGGACGTGGAGCTATGGGTGAGGGGACGAGAGCGCCAACAGGCACGGGACGGACTCAGCGGGGGGTCGGTGCACGGGGAGCGCGCGGAGGACGAGGGGGAAGGGCACTGGTGGGGGGATCTGAGATCCCTGTGCGTACTGGCACCTAGCGGGAACGCCACGATAGGCCAGAAGCGGTGGAAGTGCCAACGAATGAGGAACAGGCAGCGGGCTCTGAAGATAACGCCGGCGACCCAGAGTTTATGTGTGGTGAAGAAGCTGAATCTGAGGAGGTCTCCCTGGAGGAGGAAACTGGGGTGGACAGGAATGCTCCAAACACACGTGGAAGAGGGCCGAGCGGGATTGCACAGAACCAACGGGCGGTGGGAGATACAGCAGGAGAAACTAAGGTGACAGATGTCTTCTCGCCTTCTGACATGGCGAAGGAAGAGGCCCTCTGGCAGGGAGCTGAGGGTTGGGATGTGAAGCAACTGCAACGTGGGGACCAGCCTTTCCTCGTCCGCCGCCTGCCCCCACAAATTCTGGACAAATACTGCCTCTGTCTGCTGGCACCACTCCTGAGGCTGGAAAAATCCCCTACGTGCCTTGGTGCGTGGAAGATTCTGCTGTTCCTACCGAGGCTTACACTCCGACCCTCTCCCGAACCTGTGGTTGGGAGTCGCTGGGCTCGAATTGAGGCTCAGCTACATCAATTTCAGCAAGGGAAATGGGATGACCTTTTCGAGGAAGCCGGCACCACCCCCGATACCGACGCCCCGCTACGACACCAACCTGACGACGAAGGGGTTTGTGCACGCGCCGAAGGGTTAATGAAGAAGGGGAATATCTCGAAGGCGGTTGCTGCGTTACGCACCAGCCCACTCGCTGAGCCTAGTTCGTCAACCCTCGCTGCACTTCAGGCGAAACACCCACCTGCCAAAGACGATATCCCGGCCTGGGTAACAGGAATAGCAACTTCTGAACTCGCCGTCCCGGTTGACGCTCTCCGCGAAATCCTGGCGAAATGCCCGAATGGAGTGGGTGGGGGGCCCTCTGGAACATGTTTCGAGCACCTGAGAGATCCAGCTCTAGCCAACGAGGAGATCTTAATCCTACTCGCTAGGACAGTCAACACACTCCTTAGCACATTCCAGTCTCAGGAGTTGCGCGACCTCACCCTAACCTCACGCCTGATAGCCTTAGAGAAACCAGGGGGTGGGGTCAGGCCTATCGCGATTGGCGAAACATTACTCCGTGTAGTAGCGAAAGCGGCTCTTCACTCACTTGGTCCTAAGATCCGAGAGTTCTTTCTTCCGGTCCAGTTCGGAGTGGCTATCCCGGGGGGAGCGGAGTGTATCATCCACTCAGTCAGAGCACCACTTCAGGAGGACGAAGCACGGATTGCGCTGCAGCTGGACGTAGAGAATGCGTTCAACAGCGTTGAACGCAGAGCATTTTTTTGAGGCCCTGCAGTGGTCCAACCTTAGTCCCCTCCTCCCCCTGGTCCGAAACCTCTACGATGGCCCGTCGCGGCTACTAGTTGACCAACGCTTCGGCACAGACCACATCTTGAGCACCCGCAGAGTTCGCCAGGGAGATCCGCTCGGCCCGCTTCTGTTCGCAGCTGCGATCCAGCCAGCCCTGCTGAGCGTGGCCACTACACTGCCGGAGGTGGCGATCGTCGCCTACGCGGACGACATCACGATCGTCGGCTCACGAGAGGCTGCCTGCACCGCCTTCAACACGATCGCCTCGGCTCTGAGAGCGGTGGGACTGCGTTGCAACATAGACAAATCATCAGCATGGGGACGGAACGCGAGCGGGCAGCAGGAGGAGCTGCCACTTGGGCTGACCATGAACCAGGGGGGAATCAAAGTGCTGGGCAGTCCAGTGGGGAACGATGGCTTGTGCACTGACCACGTACGGGCGGCACTGGGAGAAGCGGCGTCGCCACTCCTCCTCATCTCGCAACTAAACCCGCAACGCGCGCTTCTCATGGTCTCGCGCAGCATCTCTCGGCGGATCTCATATATGCTTAGGACGACCTCGGCATCAACACTAAGCACACGAGAGTGGATGGAGTGGAGCGAGGCTCTCCTGGGCTCGGCACTCACTGCGGCGAAACTTCGGATCCCCTCCTCCGAGCTTGAACAGAGCCTACTGTGACGTCAGGGACACTCCCTATGCGCCTGGGTGGCCTCGGAGTGATTGACCCTATCTCTGAAGCACCCGCTGCCTACCTGGCTTCAGTCGCGGCAGCACACATCCTACTGAGGCAGCTGGACCTGCCAACTGACTGCCTCCTGAGCCGAGCGACTCAGCTCCTCTCCCACGATTGGGTCCCACCGCCACCAGAGTTCAACCCCAGAGCCACTATGGAGGGTGCCCTCACTGCTGAAGCCCGAGCAACACTGGAGCAGTACAGGGCGGGGAGTCCAGGCACAGGGAACCTACAGCTGGGGCTGTCGAAGTCTATTAACCAGCGGCGGGCCTTGGAACTCCTAGCGGACACCCTGCAGGACCGGCCGGGGGAGGACAGGGGTCATGCCATCCGCCTCATCAGCCTAAAGGGGGTGGGCGCGGGTGACTGGCTCCATGCCATGCCAACGAGAAGAGACCTTAGCTTATCCCCTAGTCAATTCTCGATGGCCCTGGGCCTGCGTTTGGGCATGGAGCTGCCGGTCGCCGAGGTGTGCCCTTGCAAGCGGGAAAACTCGACCATCTCCGACAAGAGCCTCCCCAACCACCTCCTGCGGTGTGGGGATGGCGGTGACGTTGTGAGGACCCACAACACCCTGGTCTTTGCAGCTCTCAAAATGGCCAAGGATGCGAGTTACAGGACGTTCCATGAGACCACGGCATTCTCTCCCCCGGTCCTCCGGAAGCGAGCAGACCTGGCCATTCGGGACCAGGAGTCGGGGGAAACGTGGGTAACCGATGTCACGGTCACAGATCCCGTACTGCAGAAGCGGGATAAGAGAGCTAGGAAGCCGCCGGGGTGGGCAGCAGAGGAAGCCTCCGAGGGTAAGCACAGGCTCTACGAGGGCCGCCCTAGCTATGCCAGCTTCTTTGGGCTAGCGGTAGAGACTTACGGGGCTCTGGCTAAGGACACGCAGCAATTCATCCGTATGCTAGCCACCTATGCCGCCAAGACGAAGTACAGGAAGGGACGCCTCACGACGACTGCCGCCCGCCTCAATGCACACTTCAGGCAACGGTGGTCCGTGGTGCTCCAGCGCAGCCAAGCGATCTCCCTCCTCTCCAAGTCAAACCGAGCAGCGTAAGCTTTCCCACAGACAGTGGCGGACCCTTGGGCACCTCGGCTAGGTGACCTATGGCAGACCTTGGAGGACGAGTACGAATAGAGACACGCCCCTGCCAGGGCGGCCTGAGGGGTTGAGGGGGCCGGGGAGATAGGAACATGGTGACAGGAGGAGGATGGGTGGCGGCAGGGGAGGGATACATGGGCGCGGTGAGAAGCAGGGGGGGGTGTGCTGAGTCGGTGTGGGTCAGAGGGAACAGGGATAAGGAAGGGCGTCTCAGGGAAGGTGCGAGGAAGCGGCGGGTCGGAGGAGGATAAGGGGAGGTTGTGTGGTATGGGAGGGACAGGGGACAGGTGGAAGAAGGGGGGTTCTCATGGTCCTGAGCTACCGGGGATCGGGCTGCTCTGAGAGTTAGGGGTGCTTTAGGATGGATGGGCTTGCTCTGTTTGCTTGTTTAGTTCTGGTTCCCTGGCTGCTCCAATATCTAGGCAAGCTAGTTACCACCACCTGCCATGCCTGTACCTTGTGACCCATATAAATGCATGACTGCTTGAGAGAGAGAGAGAGAGAGAGAGAGAGAGAGAGAGAGAGAGAGAGAGAGAGAGAGAGAGAGAGAGAGAGAGAGAGAGAGAGAGAGAGAGCCATTTCTCATGCATGCAAATTTTTTCAACTCTCCCACACACAGCAGCAGTTGAATGTAGAGAGCTGCTCTTTCACGCGTGCGTAGCTGCAGAAGCGCGAGTTGAACACGTCCAGATACGGCACAACAATGGTACCAGGGCAAATGAAATATGACAACCGGCAGCACTCACAAAGCCCCAGTTAAAGGTGGAGAGCTGCTCCTTGACCCGTGTGTAGCTGCAGAAGCGCGAGTTGAACACGTCCAGATACGGCGCAACAATGGTACCAGGGCAAATGAAATATGACAACCAGCAGCACTCACAAAGCCCCAGTTAAAGGTGGAGAGCTGCTCCTTGACCCGTGTGTAGCTGCAGAAGCGCGAGTTGAACACGTCCAGATACGGCACAACAATGGTACCAGGGCAAATGAAATATGACAACCAGCAGCACTCACAAAGCCCCAGTTAAAGGTGGAGAGCTGCTCCTTGACCCGTGTGTAGCTGCAGAAGCGCGAGTTGAACACGTCCAGATACGGCGCAACAATGGTACCAAGGCAAATGAAATATAACAACCAGCAGCACTCACAAAGCCCCAGTTAAAGGTGGAGAGCTGCTCCTTGACCCGTGTGTAGCTGCAGAAGCGCGAGTTGAACACGTCCAGATACGGCGCAACAATGGTACCAGGGCAAATGAAATATGACAACCAGCAGCACTCACAAAGCCCCAGTTAAAGGTGGAGAGCTGCTCCTTGACCCGTGTGTAGCTGCAGAAGCGCGAGTTGAACACGTCCAGATACGGCGCAACAATGGTACCAGGGCAAATGAAATATGACAACCAGCAGCACTCACAAAGCCCCAGTTAAAGGTGGAGAGCTGCTCCTTGACCCGTGTGTAGCTGCAGAAGCGCGAGTTGAACACATCAAGATACGGCGCCTCGTCAATCACCGCCTTCACCTTGCCCGAGCCCAGGGCGTCCGCGAACTCAGCCATGGATTTCAACGGGAACAGCACTGACTGTTGGGGGGGGGCGTGGAGGGGTGGGGCGGTGGGTGGAGGGTTTCAGGCGAGGGGAGGGATGGGGGCATGAGGGAATGAGCCTCGTCGATCGATCACGGCCTTCACCTTGCCTGACCCCAGGGCGTATGGAAATCACTTTTGAGAATTCTCAAAAGTGATTTCCATATACACGGCCTTCGCCTTGCCTGACCCCAGGGCGTCCGCGAACTCAGCCATCGACCCCAGCGGGAACAGCACTGACTGTTGGGGGCGGGGAGGGGTGGGGCGGTGGGTGGAGGGTTTCAGGCGAGGGGAGGGATGGGGGCATGAGGGAATGAGCCTCGTCGATCGATCACGGCCTTCACCTTGCCTGAACCCAGGGCGTATGGAAATCACTTTTGAGAATTCTCAAAAGTGATTTCCATATACACGGCCTTCGCCTTGCCTGACCCCAGGGCGTCCGCGAACTCAGCCATCGACCCCAGCGGGAACAGCACTGACTGTTGGGGGCGGGGAGGGGTGGGGCGGTGGGTGGAGGGTTTCAGGCGAGGGGAGGGATGGGGGCATGAGGGAATGAGCCTCGGCGATCACGGCCTTCACCTTGCCTGACTGACCCCAGGGCGTATGGAAATCACTTTTGAGAATTCTCAAAAGTGATTTCCATATACACGGCCTTCGCCTTGCCTGACCCCAGGGCGTCCGCGAACTCAACCATCGACCCCAGCGGGTACAGCGCTGACTGTTGTGTTTGGGGGGACAGTGAGGTTGGGGGGGAGGGGGAAAGGAAGTATGGGAGCAGCACGAGTGGTGAGCGTCGTCAATGACGGCCTTCACCTTGCCAGACCGACCTCAAGGCGTCCACAAATTCAGCCATGGAACCCAGCGCGTACAGCACTGACTGTTGAGGAGGGGGGGGGAGGGGGTGGGGGTGGGTGGGGGTTGGGAGAAGGCAGAGAGCAAAGGGGGAGCCATAGCGGTGGAGACGGGGTGGATGTGGATAGCATGATTGGGCTTGTGAATGAGACTGCGTGCGTACAATGGGGAAGACTTTTGAGTCGACTCAAAAGTCAATAGCGGTGGAGACAGGGTGGATGTGGATAGCATGATTGGGCTTGTGAATGAGACTGCAGCATGCATACAGTGGGAATTAGACAGCACAGCCTGCTCACAAAGGGGATAAAAGTGCTGAAAACAAGAGTTGGCGGGAGTGGATTGTGGGGAATAGCGGGCCTGCTTACAGCGGGGATGCCAATGGCCAGGAGGTAGTTGCAGGTGAACCGAGAGACTGTCTACAGTGGGAAGCAGGTATAACAAGACTGCCGATAGCTACAGTGGGGATTAGAGAGACTGCTCAACGAGAAAGTTGGAGAAAGAGAAAGCCTGCTTACAGCGGGGATGCCGATGGCCAGGAGGCAGTTGTAGGTGAAGGACCCCTTGTGGTAACCGAGGGATTGCCATGGATAGCAAGACTGCTTACAACTACAATGGAGAGTAGTAGCGGGCCTGCTTACAGCGGGGATGCCGATGGCCAGGAGGTAGTTGTAGGTGAAGGACCCCTCGTGGTAACCGAGAGGAAGCTTCAAAGAGATTGCCACAGCAAGGCTCTGTGTGGGGGTGGAAGGGGTTTGGTGGGCAGGGGGAGGGGGTGATGGGGATGGATGGGGGAGAGCGAGCGGGTGGCATGGCGGCGTATCGTGGATAGACCAGCCATACAAATTGGGGTTGATGAGGTCTTGGATTTCCAGGTGCTAGGAGGGGGGAGGGCTGCCAGGATTCAAGTTCATAGTGGAGTAGCAGCAATCCTGAAGGAAATGCTTAAGCAACAAAGGAACGAGACTGAATTCCCAGGATTGCTGCTACTCCAGTCCACTATGAACTTGAATCCTTGGGGTTGATGAGGACTTGGGTTTCCAGGTGCTAGGAGGGGGGAGGGCTGCCAGGAATGCTCACATCAGGGGTTGCAGCGAGGTTCTGAAGGTGAGGATGGAGGAGAGGGAGGGGGTGTAACTGGCGGTGTATTGTGGATGGACTGGCATTTCGGGTTTAGGGTGCTAGAAGTGCTCACATCAGGGGTTGCAGCGCGGTTCTGAACGGTGAGGATGGAGGAGAGGGAGGCGGTGTAACTGGCGGTGTATTGTGGATGGACTGGCATTTCGGGTTTAGGGTGCTAGAAGTGCTCACATCAGGGGTTGCAGCGAGGTTCTGAACGGTGAGGATGGAGGAGAGGGAGGCGGTGTAACTGGCGGTGTATTGTGGATGGACTGGCATTTCGGGTTTAGGGTGCTAGAAGTGCTCACATCAGGGGTTGCAGCGAGGTTCTGAACGGTGAGGATGGAGGAGAGGGAGGCGGTGTAACTGGAGGTGTATTGTGGATGGACTGGCATTTCGGGTTTAGGGTGCTAGAAGTGCTCACATCAGGGGTTGCAGCGAGGTTCTGAACGGTGAGGATGGAGGAGAGGGAGGCGGTGTAACTGGCGGTCACGATGAGCACGAGGAAGAGCCAGCACATCATGGCGAGGCGGCCCATGGTGGTCTGAATGGGCTTGTCTGCTCACATCACATCACGCATCAAGTAGGGAAATAAGGGGTGTAAGCAGAGGGGAAACGGGAAGGAGAGAGAGAGGGGAGGGGTGGTTCTGTAATAAGGCAATAGAAGGGTTGACAAGGTAGCTTATAATGAAGGGCCATCATGTCATGGATTAGCACGCAGAGTGTGGTGATGTGCGTAAAGTTAACGTGTGGTGTATGGATGCGAATAACATGAATGAAGTGACACAAACGAGCAGGTGAAGGAGGGTGGTTGGGAACATGCAGCATTCCAACATGGGGCAAGCAAGCAAGGTGGCCAAAAGAGCAGCAAGCAAGGTGGCCAAAGGCGCAGCAAGCAAGGTGGTCAAAGGCGCAGCAAGCAAGGTGGTCAAAGGCGCAGCAAGCAAGGTGGTCAAAGGCGCAGCAAGCAAGGTGGTCAAAGGCGCAGCAAGCAAGGTGGTCAAAGGCGCAGCAAGCAAGGTGGTCAAAGGCGCAGCAAGCAAGGTGGTCAAAGGCGCAGCAAGCAAGGTGGTCAAAGGCGCAGCAAGCAAGGTGGTCAAAGGCGCAGCAGGCAAGGTGGTCAAAGGCGCAGCAAGCAAGGTGGTCAAAGGCGCAGCAAGCAAGGTGGTCAAAGGCGCAGCAAGCAAGGTGGTCAAAGGCGCAGCAAGCAAGGTGGTCAAAGGCGCAGCAAGTAAGGTGGCCGAAGGTGTAGCAAGCAAGGTGGCCAAACGCTTAGCAAGCAAGGTGGCGTTCTGGGTGCCAAGCCAACGAAGTTAGGTGGGTGAGAGAAATTATTCAGCATTCCACCATGCGGGGCAGTGGTCAAAGGTATACCTTGTGCAAAGACGATCGTGGTGAGCGCATACCTGCAACGCACAAGAGAGGAACACGGGGGGTGGCACAGGGGAAGAGGAATCGACTGGGGTTACAAGGGTTGCTTTGGCGGAACAGGGGGAGAGGATACGGCCGGGCTTAAAACGGGGAGGGTAAGGAAAATCTTAATTAAAGGGAAGGAGATAGGCCCTTTATAAAAAATGACCACGCGCCCATGCTTGAACCACGCACCCCTGCTTGTTGGCTCCTACTTAGGCCACAAGTCAACATGCTTGCTTGCAGGTGCAGACTGGAGGGACCACGGTCCATTCGACTCACTTCGGCGATAAACCTTGGGATCAATTCATGTCTATATGCCACCCAACAGGCCATGGCTTACCAGACGCTGTCAATGATCTGGCTGGAGAGCTAGCCGTGGGCGGAGAAGGGAGAAGGGTAGCTTTAAAACAGGTGTCAGAATCTCAGCCACTAGACCACTGGGATAAAAGGTCTTGTTTCAGTAGCGAGTCAGTGCGCCTATAACTCCCCATGCTAACATGCATGTGAACCTTCCTAGGATCAATCGGGGATCCCCACTGCAAGTCTTCTGACAACAGAGCTTGAGGAAATAGTAGTCAGATCAGGTTGGCTCACCAGACGCTGTCGATGATCTGGCTGGAGAGGTTGCCGTGGGCGCAGAAGTCCTCGTTCCGGTTCTTATCAAGAAGATAGTGAGGCGCCTCAGCTCCTGGGTCGTCTCAAATAGCTGACTTACCAGACACTATCGATGATCTGGCTGGAGAGCTTGCCGTGGGCGTAAAAGTCCTCGTTCTGGTTCTTCTCGAGGAACCAGACGGCGAAGACGGTGAAGACGGTTGATGCGAGGATGACCAGCCACATGGTGAGCGAGAAGGGCGTCAGGAATGACCACGCCCCCGTGCTCGTTGGCTCTTGCGCCACCGCCATTGACAAACTGGCAGACTGGAGGCAAGGGAGGGGTGTGAAGAGAGGGTGTGGACTAACGTATGAGTCGCCTCAGAAACCACCTCGAGAAGGGCGTCAGGAACGACCACGCCCCCGTGCTCATTGGCTCTTGCGCCACCGCCATTGACAAACTGGCAGACTGGAGGCAAGGGAGGGGTGTGAAGAGAGGGTGTGGACTAACGTATGAGTCGCCTCAGAAAACACCTCGAGAAGGGCGTCAGGAACGACCACGCCCCCGTGCTCGTTGGCTCCTGGGCCACCGCCATGGACAGGCTTGCAGACTGGAGAGAGCACAGTATGGGGATGTGGAGTGAACAGACTTATGCGTTGCCTCTGAAGCCATCTCGAGAAGGGCATCAGGAACGACCATGCGCCCGTGCTTGTGGGTTCCTGTGCCACCGCCATGGACAGGCTTGCGGACTAGAGGGATGGAGGGAACAGAGTGAAGGGGTTGAACAGAATTTCTAGTCAACTCTAAAGCCACCTTGAGAAGGGTGACAGGAACAACCACACGCCCGTGCTCGTGGGTTCCTGTGCCACCGCCATTGACAGGCTGGCAGACTGGAGGTAAGGGAGGAACGGGTGAACGGGGTGAACGGGGTGAACTGACTTTTGAGTCGCCTCAGAAGCCACATGGTGAGCGAGAAGGGCGACAGGAACGACCACGCGCCCGTGCTTGTGGGTTCCTGGGCCACCACCATCGACAGGCTTGCAGACTAAAGTTAAGGGGGAAACGGGGTGAGTCGACTATTGAGTCGACTATTGAGTCGACTATTGAGTCGACTATTGAGTCGACTACTGAGTCGGCTATTGAATCGACTATTGAGTTGACTATTGAGTCGACTATTGAGTCGACTCTAAAGTCACCACGAGAAGAGCGTCAGGAACGACCACGCGCTTTTGCTCGTGGGTTCCTGTGCCACCGCCATTGACAGGCTTGCAGACTGGAGGTAAGGAAGGAACCGGGGAGAGGGATGGATGTGTAAAACAACGTATCTTCTAAACAACATGGAAATACGATTGAGAGACGTGGCAAGCAATGAAAGCAACGTATTACCTAAAACCTGCACTGGGTGTACCTGCAAGAAGGGGAAGGTGTACCTGCACTGGCTGTACCTGCACTGGCTGTACCTGCACCGGGTGTACCTGCAAGGAGGGGAAGGTGTACCTGCACTGGTTGTGTGAACTGAACGAGCTGCTGGCGCTCCTGTGTGATGGTGATGTCCCCTACTGCCCCGTCAAATGTCTGCACACACGGTGAAGTTGAAAAGGAAAGTTGAAAGGCTACAGTGTTATTACCTACCTTGTTTGCAACAAGCTTGAGCATATCAGTGTAGCTCAGGGACTGGTTCCCAATGCCATAGGGCACAAACTCAAAGTCCAGGGTGTACGGCAGCAGCCCCACCCAGTGCCAGTGCCAGCCAGCCCATAATATTCATTCAACTCACGCCCTGGCTGCCCATCCCAGCATCCCCTCTTCTGTTCCCCCATCCCAGCATCCCCTCTTCTGTTCCCCCATCCCAGCATCCCCTCTTCTGTTCCCCCATCCCAGCATCCCCTCTTCTGTTCCCCCATCCCAGCATCCCCTCTTCTGTTCCCCCATCCCAGCATCCCCTCTTCTGTTCCCCCATCCCAGCATCCCCTCTTCTGTTCCCCCATCCCAGCATCCCCTCTTCTGTTCCCCCATCCCAGCATCCCCTCTTCTGTTCCCCCATCCCAGCATCCCCTCTTCTGTTCCCCCATCCCAGCATCCCCTCTTCTGTTCCCCCATCCCAGCATCCCCTCTTCTGTTCCCCCATCCCAGCATCCCCTCTTCTGTTCCCCCATCCCAGCATCCCCTCTTCTGTTCCCCCATCCCAGCATCCCCTCTTCTGTTCCCCCATCCCAGCATCCCCTCTTCTGTTCCCCCATCCCAGCATCCCCTCTTCTGTTCCCCCATCCCACCTTGTTTACAACCAGCCTGAGCATGTCGGTGTAGCTGAGAGACTGGTTGCCGACGCCATAGGGCACAAACTCAAAGTCCAGCGTGTACGGCAGCAGGCCCACCGCCGCCCGAAAGTCATTCATTCATTGCCATTCAATCCACTTGACTCTGTCACTTCCTGCTCACCTTGTTCGCCACCAGTCGGAGCATATCAGTGTAACTCAGGGACTGGTTGCCGATGCCATAGGGCACAAACTCCAAGTCTAGCGTGTAGGGTAGCAGCCCCACTGCCGCCCGAAAGACTCAACTCAAGCCCTGGTTATTTACCCAAGCATGTCCCATCCCTTGTTCCAGCGTCCCACCTTGTTTGCAACAAGTCGGAGCATGTCGGTGTAGCTGAGAGACTGGTTGCCAACGCCATAGGGCACAAACTCAAAGTCCAGCGTGTAGGGTAGCAGCCCCACCGCCGCCCGAAAGACCTCCACACAGAAGCCAGTGATGGTGTCGTTGGTGGCTATCTGCACAAACTGCGTGAAGTCCTGTTGTGGGGAGAAGGATTAGGGGAGGAAGAGAGGGAAAAAGGGGAGGGAGAAGGGGCATTTGAAAGACTCCATACAGAAGCCGGTGATGGTGTCGTTGGTGGCTATCTGCAGGCATGAGCAGGGGGCGAACTCGAACATGTTCGTGTTCGCCCCCTGACGAACATGGCCTTCTGCCGAACCGAACAGTGTTCGGTTCGGCGAACGACTTGAGTGAAAATAGGTGTTCGCCGTTCGCCCTAGGAGGCGAACGAATTGCTGCAACAGGTGAACAGGAACATGTTCGTGGCGAACATGTTCGTGTTCGCCCAGGGGGAAATTCAATATAGAGTAAAATTCAAATCGTCGCACATTCTCTCCCCCCACCTCCCAAGCCAGTCCCGCCCTGCTTCATCCATCTAGTGCCAGCGTGCAATGGCGAAATGCTAGATCCGCACTTAAGCAATGGCGAAATGCTAGATCTGCACTTAAGCAACGGCGAAATGCTCGATCCGCACTTAAGCAACGGCGAAATGCTAGATCCGCACTTAAGCAACGGTGAAATGCTCGATCCGCAATTAAGCAACGGCGAAATGCTCGATCCGCACTTAAACAACGGCGAAATGCTCGATCCGCACTTAAGCAACGGCGAAATGCTCGATCTGCACTTAAGCAATGGCAAAATGCTAGATCTGCACTTTACTAACTGCGAAAGGCCAGATCTGAGCCCAAACACCAAGGCCCGCGACCTAAAAATTGGTCGCGGGCCTCTTTGTCGACGAACACATTGGTGTTTGTCGAAGGCCCGTGTCGAACACGAACACGTTCGTGTTTGACGCGCCTCGGCGAGCTGAGCCGGGCAAACGGCGAACGTGTTCGGGCGAACACCGAACACGTTCGCCCCGAACAATTTAGGCCAAAAAAATATCCTGTTCGGTTCGCCTCGAACACGTTCGAGGCGAACCGAACAGGAGTTCGTCATATTGCTCATCCCTAGCTATCTGCACAAACTGCGTGAAGTCCTGTTGTGGGGAGAAGGATAAGGGGAGGAAGAGAGGGAAAAAGGGGAGGGAGAAGGGGCATTTGAAAGACTCCATACAGAAGCCGGTGATGGTGTCGTTGGTGGCTATCTGCACAAACTGCGTGAAGTCCTGTTGTGGGGAGAAGGATTAGGGGAGGAAGAGAGGGAAGAAGGGGAGGGAGAAGGGGCATATGAGAGAACCTCCACACAGAAGCCGGTGATGGTGTTGTTGGTGGCGATCTGCACAAACAGCGTGAAGTCCTATTGCGGGTAAGGATGAGGGTTTACAGAGGAAGATGGGGAGAGCAAGAGGGAAGGGGGGAGGGAGAGGGGGGGGCATTCGAAAGAACTCCACGCAGAAGGAGAGGAAGCCAGTGATGGTGTCGTTGGTTGGCTGCTAACTGCCGTTGGTTGGCTGCTATCTGCACGAACTGCGTGTCAATCCCGTAGATAGCAACAGGAGGCTATCCTGTTGGACCGGCAGCCTCAGACGAGAGCGAGCGAGGAAGGCCTGACTCAGAAGGCACCTGGGCGGCTCCGGCCGCACGGTTTCCCTGATGGGTCGTTAGTTGAGGCGCCTCAAAAGTCACAAGGGTCCGTCAGCGCGCTCAGCTCAGCAGCAGGCTGCGATCCCTTTGAGGCGCCTCAAAAGTCGGCTCCGGCAGCATGGGTTCCGTCCTGATGGGCCGTTCGTGGGGCGTTGCGCTTTGGAGTCGACTCATGGGTTCCTTCCTGATGGGCCGTTCGTGGGGCGTTGCGCTTTGGAGTCGACTCATGGGTTCCTTCCTGATGGGCCGTTCGTGGGGCGTTGCGCTTTGGAGTCGACTCATGGGTTCCTTCCTGATGGGCCGTTCGTGGGGCGTTGCGCTTTGGAGTCGACTCATGGGTTCCTTCCTGATGGGCCGTTCGTGGGGCGTTGCGCTTTGGAGTCGACTCATGGGTTCCTTCCTGATGGGCCGTTCGTGGGGCGTTGCGCTTCGGAGTCGACTCATGGGTTCCTTCCTGATGGGCCGTTCGTGGGGCGTTGCGCTTTGGAGTCGACTCATGGGTTCCTTCCTGATGGGCCGTTCGTGGGGTGTTGCGCTTTGGAGTCGACTCATGGGTTCCTTCCTGACGGGCCGTTCGTGGGGCGTCGCGCTTTGGAGTCGACTCATGGGTTCCTTCCTGATGGGCCGTTCGTGGGGCGTTGCGCTTTGGAGTCGACTCATGGGTTCCTTCCTGATGGGCCGTTCGTGGGGCGTTGCGCTTTGGAGTCGACTCATGGGTTCCTTCCTGATGGGCCGTTCGTGGGGCGTTGCGCTTTGGAGTCGACTCATGGGTTCCTTCCTGATGGGCCGTTCGTGGGGCGGGGCGGGTTCAAGTTAGAGCGTGGCTGCCGTGCCGTGTCACATACCGAACTCGTACCTGCGGAGAGAAAAACGTGGGTTTGGAGCACTGCATGCACAAAACAAGCTTACCTGTTTGAACGGCACAGCGATTTTCAATGGTGTGTGCGCACGCGGGAACCAGCCACGTGGCAGCTGTGCGGAAAAAACAACGAACAAGTGGACGGGCAGGAGAAACACGGATTCGAAGGAAAAAAAAGAAGAGCGCATAAAGACCGAATGTGTGTAAAATGACATTTGGAAAAGTGACTGACAGATAAAAATGCGTGTAACCTGTATGTGGTATCTATCTGGCTCAGCCTTACTCAGCTAAAGATGTGTGTGCAACTGCGATGCGAGCGACTCACACAGAAAGTGCATCACTTTTGGAAAAATCTCAAGAATGTGATTCAGAAACTCACAAATGAAACCCCGCCGGGCCAGATGACGCCTGCCAGCACCGATTGGCTGGAATCCTTGGTTGTCGATGAGGGCTGGTATGTGTGTGGGTGACACACGGGAAAAGAGCTGGATCATTGTAAGGGACGGAAAGCTGACTCGGAAACAAGCAAAAGGTTTCTAAAACGCCTGCTGGCGCGTTTGTGAGGATAATAATAACCATTTAACAAGAAAAAAGCAAAGAACACTACAGGCTGGTGTGAGTAGCTAGTAGTATCACCGTACTTACCCTCACCTTTCGATTCGACTAAAAAAAAAAAAAAAAAACGGAACACTGCAGGCTGGTGTGAGTACCAGTACCACTAGCTAGTAGGCTAGTAATATAACTCCACTCCCCCTAACCTCGAAAGAAGAGGAGAGGCCGTTTTTTGTGATCCAGTAGCCAATGGAGCGCAGCCGGCCGTTGGAGCGGTGCGGAGGAGCTGGGCTGGGTGCATTACTACAAGACTTGTAGCACAAGTGCGATTCCTCACCTCAAGAGAAGAGGAGAGGCTGCCCTCTGTGGTCCAGTAGCCGATGGAACGCAGCCGGCCATTGGAGGAGCGGTGTGGAGGAGTTGGGTGCTCTGAATGTACCCGATAGGGTGCGTGCATGCATGCACTATTAGAGTGCTTCCCCTCACCTCGAGCGAGGAGGAGAGGCCGTTCTCTTTGGTCCAGTAGCCAATGGAGCGCAGCCGGCCGTTGACCGCATTGACTATCTCAAACGACGTGCCGATGCGATCGCCCTGTGCATCCAGTGACACTCTGTTGGTGGGGGGGAGGACGGGAATGGACCAATGAAGACAGGGGGTAAGAGGTTTGTAGAGTGAAGTCTGTTGCCTTTGACCGCATTGACTATCTCAAACGGCATGCCGATGCGATCGCCCTGAGCGTCCAGTGACACTATGTTGGTGGGGGAGGGGAGGGAAAATGGGGGAAAAGCGTGATTATGTCGCAGGGCACAGCCTGCCGTTGACTGCATTGACCGCATTGACTATCTCAAACGACGTGCCAACACGATCGCCCTGTGCGTCCTACGACACTCTGTTGGTGGGGGGGGAGGCTGGGAAAGGGTGAATGATGGAGGGCGGTGGGAGGATTGTAGGGTGCAGCTTGTTGCTGACTGCAAAAGCTGCAGTCCAAACACTCTTCTTGACGTCTCAATCCAGAACTGAACGACTTTTGAGGCACCTTAAACGAGTGCGGTGGGAGGATTGTAGGGTGCAACTTGTTGCTGACTGCAAAAGCTGCACTCCAAACTCGCTATTCGTCTCAAGCCATAACTCAACGCACACCACCACCACCACCACCACCACCACCAGTATCATTGCACAGACTCTCTTTAAGATGCCTCTGAAATGCAAACCTTGGCTAGTCCGCTAACCTCCCTCCATGTGACCACGTCCGTCGATTGCCGTGCGTGTGACTGCCCGCCGCCGCCATGAGCAGCGTGGAAACATAAATGTATGAACCCTCTGTCAGTCTGGTGCAGGGCACAGCGCCAAGCCACCACTAGCATGCACTGCTCACCTCCCTGTGACCCCGTCGATTGTCGTGCGTGTGAGAGCCGCCATGAGCTTTGTACCGTCTGAAAGAGGGACAGACAGGTGAAGAGATTAATAGGGAGCAAGGAGAACGGAAAGGCATGCTACTGAGCAACCACAGCAAACAACAGCAACAGCCAGTCGAGTCACAGCAGGCAGGCAGGCAAGGCAAGGCAGGCAACAACAACAGCGCGCAGTGCGACCGCAGCAGCCACGTCCCGTCAGAATCGACTCAGTCTTTTTGAGTTTTGAGGCGCCTCAAAAGTCGCAGTGCGACCGCAGCAGCCACGTCCCGTCAGAATCGACTCAGTCTTTTTGAGTTTTGAGGCGCCTCAAAAGTCGCAGTGCGACCGCAGCAGCCACGTCCCGTCCGAATCGACTCAGTCTTTTTGAGTTTTGAGGCGCCTCAAAAGTCGCAGTGCGACCGCAGCAGCCACGTCCCGTCAGAATCGGCTCAGTCTTTTTGAGTTTTGAGGCGCCTCAAAAGTCGCAGTGCGACCGCAGCAGCCACGTCCCGTCAGAATCGACTCAGTCTTTTCTTTTTGAGTCAACTCAAAACACAGCAACCATGCTCGCCTGATGGCAGTGGCAAACATGAGATTCGAAACCATTTGAGAGGACAGGTGAAGGCATAGGGAACAAGGAGAACGGACTAGCATGTTACTGAGTAACCGCAGCAGTCACGTCCAGTCAGCAACCATGCTCACATGATGGGAGTGGCAAACAAAATATCCGAACCATCTGAGAGGGTCCGCCTCAGACAGAAGGAGAGAGGAGGAGGAAGCACACATGCGAGCCAGAATGGCAAGGGAGTGGGTGGTCGTACACTCACTCGCACTCCCTATAATGCATTCACTCGCACTCCCTATAATGCACTCACTCGCACTCCTTATCATGCACTCACTCGCACTCCCTATCATGCACTCACTCGCACTCCCTATCATGCACTCACTCGCACTCCCTATCATGCACTCACTCGCACTCCCTATCATGCACTCACTCGCACTCCCTATCATGCACTCACTCGCACTCCATATCATGCACTCACTCGCACTCCCTATCATGCACGCACCAAGATTCTCCAGCAGCCGTGCCAGGTCAGTAGACGCCCCCCCTCCTTTTGGCAACTCCACCGCTTGCCACCGCTCTAAACCCACCACTCCCCCACTCGTACCCCCCGCCACCGCCCCCACTCCCCCTGTTGCTGCTTCTGCTCCTGCCAGCCTCCCGGTGCTATTAACGCTGCTGCCACTGTCACTGGCGTTGCCGTTGGCAGCAGAAGGAGGAGGGGCGTTGATGGGGGGTGGGGAGTTGGGGTAGAGAAGAGCGTGGATGGAGTGTGCGATAATGGAGAGGGAATCGTAGGCAAAGAGCATGTAGAGAGAGGTCTGCAGGTGGGGGAGTGGGGGGTTTGGGGTAAAGGGGGACAGGATCGAGGGACCAGTGGGGGGACAGGGATGAGAGAGAGAAGAGTTGGGAAGGAAGGCGGGGAGTTGGGGTAGAGGTGCGCGTGGATGGAGTGTGTGATAAGGGAGAGAGAATCGTAGGCAAAGAGCGTGTAGAGAGTGGTCCGCAGGGGGGAGCATGGGGGAAAAGGGGTGACAGGGGGAACAAAAAGGGAAGAATGGTGGGGAGGGAGGGGTGAGAAAGAGAGAAGGGCTGGGAATGGGAAACAGCTTGGGGTAGACCAGCGAGTGTATGGCGCAGGCGATGAGGGAGAGAGAGTCGTGGGTGTCGCCTCAAAACTCCACCCGCCCTCTTCCCCCCTTCGTTCTCACCTCGTCAAACGCGGCTGCACCGTTGGTTGCATTCCCCTCCCCATCCGCCTGCCACGCGCGCTCAAACTCAGACAGCTCTTGAGGCGCCTCAACCCCCCCCCCCCCTCCGTTCTCCCTTCGTTTCTCACCTGATCAAAGGCCGCACCACCGTTGGTTGCATTCCCCTCCCCATCCGTCTGCGCGCTCAAACTCAGACAGCTCTTGAGGCACCCCCCCCTCCCCCTCTCCCCCCCCCCCCCCCCCATCTCCCTTCGTTTCTCACCTGATCAGCGGCCGCACCACCATTGGTCATGTTCACGTCCCCGTCCACCTGCCATGCGCGCTCAAACTCAGACAGCTGGGGGTTGGGCGGCACGAAGACACGCGTTCCGATCATCCCTTCGGTGGAGAGCTCCGGCAGGTTCTCCAGCTCCGACACCACCCCTTCGGTTGCGATCCATACGTAACCTGGCGTCATCATTCCAACTTCTGAAGCTGCTCACGGGTGAGGGAGAGAGCGGGCAGAGAGAGGCACGGAGGTGTTTGTTTGTTGCTGTGCTTTTCGTTACAGGTTCTCCAGCCCCCAAGGCTGGGGGTTGGGCGGCACGAGGACGCGTGTGCTGATCATCCCTTCGGTGGAGAGCTCCGGCAGGTTCTCTAACTCCAACACCACTCCCTCTGTGGCTATCCACACATAGTCGGGCGTCATCATGCCCACCTCGGATGCTGTTGTTGTGAGAGAGGGAGGTGGAGAAGGCATGGGGGGTGAAGGCATGGGAAGAGAGGGTGGAGAGCTCCGGCAGGTTCTCCAGCTCCGACGTCTCTCCCTCTGTGGCTATCCACACGTAGCCCGGCGTCATCATGCCGACTTGAGACGCTGCTGACACAGAGAGAGAACAATGTAGTGTAGACGCATGTAGAGCAATGAGCAGGAGTTGCACGATGAGCTCAACCCTGCGTTCAGGGTTAAGCTGCAGGATGAAGACCATGGACTCCAGCTTCTGAGCGGCGAGCAGGCAGGAGAGAGAAGGAAGAAGAGAGAACCAAGCGACATGCATACCAAAGCCAGCACTCATCATACTGTGCTCACTGCCCACACAGCAGCACCCAGCCTACCGGCAGTGAGCACGGGCACGATGAGTGCGAGGTTGAGCTGCAGAATGAAGACCGTGGACTCGAGCTTCTGAGCGGCGAGCAGACAACAGCGGGACCCTAGACCACACGACAAGCACACCAGCACTCCCTCCCTACCAGCACTCAGTCTACACAGCAGTCAGCTACGTGACATACCAGCAGTGAGCACGGGCACGATGAGTGCGAGGTTGAGCTGCAGGATGAAGACGGTGGATTCGAGCTTCTGAGCGGCGAGCAGACGCACGATGATGTCGGAGAGAGACGCGTCCAGGGGCACAGCGATGCTCTTCACCACGTCCACTGACGCCTGGTGGTGGGAGAGAGAGGGGGTGGGCCGAGGGTGGAGAGGGGAGAGTGGGCGGTGGTGGTGTGAAGGAGCAGCAGGTGCACGCACGATCATGTCGGAGAGAAAGGCGTCCAGCGGCACAGCGATGCTCGTCACCACATCCACTGACGCCTGGTGGTGGGAGAGAGAGGGGGGGAGATTGGGCGGTGGGGGTGGGGTATAAGGTGAAGGCATAGCAGACGCACGATGATGTCGGAGAGAAATGCGTCCAGGGGCACAGCGATGCTCTTCACCACATCCACTGACGCCTGGTGGAAGCGGGGCGGGGGTAAGAGGGTTGCGCGGGTAGGGTGGGGTACAAGTTGTAAGAGCAGGCGCACGCACGATGATGTCTGAAAGAGAGGCATCTAGTGGCACAGCGATGCTCTTCACCATGTCCACTGACGCCTGGTGGGGAGGGGGAGGGGGAGGGGGAGGGTCGGGCGGATGGGATGAGAGTGGGGGGTGGGGTGAAGGAGCAGCAGGCACAACGATGCTCTTCACCCATCCACTGACGCCTGGTGGGGGGAAGAGGAAGGGTGGTGGGGGAAGGGGGGAAGTGGCTAGGGGAACCAGAGTGGAAGGGGGGGTTAGGGGGTTGCAATATTTACTAGTCAAGAGCGAGAACGACCAGGGGGTGGGATGCTTTTGAGAATTCTCAAAAGTCACTCCAATGATGCTCTCTTTATCAAGTCCACAGACGCCTGGAGGAAAAGGAATCACTACCAGCTCACCCTATCCGCCAGCTCACGTCATCTGCCAGCTCATCCTATCCACCAGCTCACGCCATCTGCCAGCTCACCTTATCCAGCAGCACTGCCAGCTGGTTGACTCCGTTTCTGCCGTAGTCGTCATCGCTGTAGATGGTGATCACCTCCAACCAGCTGAAATGCGTCACCAGGTCTGCAGTGGGGGAGGGGTGGGGGGAGAGGGATGGGGCGGGTGGGGGGAAAGGGGGTAGGTTTGGCTTTGGTGGTTTCGGCCGTAGTCGTCATCGCTGTAGATGGTGATCACCTCCAACCAGCTGAAATGCGTCACCAGGTCTGCAGTGGGGGAGGGATGGGGGGAGAGGGATGGGGCGGGTGGGGGGAAAGGGGGTAGGTTTGGCTTTGGTGGTTTCGGCCGTAGTCGTCATCGCTGTAGATGGTGATCACCTCCAACCAGCTGAAGTGCGTCACCAGGTCTTCTGCAGTGAGAGGAGAGAGGGGGATGGGGGGACGGGACGGGAGGACGTGGGGGTTGGTTACGTGTGAGTGTGAGTGTGTGTAGAAAGTAAGCCACTGTAGATGGTGATTGCCTCCAGCAAGCTGAAGTGTGTCGGCAGGTTGCGGTGTGAGGAGGGGAATGTAGAAAGGGAATGGTGGGTGTGTGCATGGATGGATGTTCCCGCCTTAGTCGTCGTCACTAGGTCTGTCGACACATATCATCTCAAGCCAGCCAGCTGAAATACTGATCACGCCCCACCCACCCCCCATGCCCATCAGTTCGCCCGCCATCACGTCTCACCCGCTATGGCCAACCTTCCAAGAGCGACGCTGTGGATGGTGCGAGTGAACAAGGGTTGGGAGGGCTCACTCAGTCACATGCTGCTGTGCATCAGCACGCCCCACCCCACCATTCAACAGACCTCACTCACCCGCTATGGCCTGCATCTCGAGAGCATCGCTGCGGATGGTGCGAGTGAACAAGGGTTGGGGAGCTCACATTGCGACAATCAGCCACGAGTCACATACTGCTATTGTCAGATTACCATCCTCATTGTAACCTACATCAATCCTATAAGCTTAGGCTAGAGATAGCCACCCAAACTTAGTTTGGGTGTAGAACTAGGGATAACCCTAGTTGGGGGTTGGAACTCCAACCTTGGCCCCAAGGTTGGGTTGGGAATTATTGGTCCCCCCAATAATGTTGAACCAACTTGGTCAACATTATTGGTCCCCCAATCATCCCTCAACCCAACTTATTGGTGGGGGCCAATAATGTTGGCTTGGTTCCCAACCAACCCCTCCCCCCTTAGCACTACTATGTATACCTCCCTCTCTCCTAATGAATTCAATGGTTCTTCCTCTCGTTTTCTCACATGGTAATCAGAGCTACAACGGTTAACACCGTCTCACCACACTTAACGCGTGCCGTATCACGCCCCCCTCTCTCACTCGCGCTTAAGTTGCGCTAGTACGCCTTCACGGCCCCCCTCCCCCCTTGCACTCACGCACGTTCCCGTGCCTCCCCCGCACGAGTTACGATTGGCAGCCTGCTCCCTCCCCCCTCCCCTCTCCTCCCTCACTGCGGTGCATTCCGCCGACGAGGGCGGACGCGACCACCGCGGCGCATTCCGCTGACGAGGGCGGACGCGACCACCGCGGCGGATTCCGCCTACGAGGGCGGACGCGACCACCGCGGCGGATTCCGCCTACGAGGGCGGACGCGACCACCGCGGCGGATTCCGCCTACGAGGGCGGACGCGACCACCGCGGCGGATTCCGCCTACGAGGGCGGACGCGACCACCGCGGCGGATTCCGCCTACGAGGGCGGACGCAACCACCGCGGCGGATTCCGCCTACCAGGGCGGACGCGACCACCGCGGCGCATTCCGCCGACGAGGGCGGACGCGACCACCGCGGCGGATTTCCGCTGACGGACGCGCTACCGCGGGTGACGAGGAGCATCCGCGGACGGCCGCGCACCCGCGGGCGACGAGGCGCATCCGCGGACGGACGCGCACCCGCGGGCGACGAGGCGCATCCGCGGACGGACGCGCACCCGCGGGCGACGAGGCGCATCCGCGGACGGACGCGCACCCGCGGGCAACGAGGCGCATCCGCGGACGGACGCGCACCCGCGGGCGACGAGGCGCATCCGCGGACGGACGCGCACCCGCGGGCGACGAGGCGCATCCGCGGACGGACGCGCACCCGCGGGCGACGAGGCGCATCCGCGGACGGACGCGCACCCGCGGGCGACGAGGCGCATCCGCGGACGGACGCACACCTGCGGGCGACGAGGCGCATCCGCGGACGGACGCGCACCCGCGGGCGACGAGGCGCATCCGCGGACGGACGCGCACCCGCGGGCGACGAGGCGCATCCGCGGGCGGACGCGCACCCGCGAGCGACGAGGCGCATCCGCGGACGGACGCGCACCCGCGAACGGACGCGCACCCGCGGGCCACGAGGCGCAATCACGGGCGACACAAACGCAGCTGCGAGTAACCCGGCGCCACCATACGTTACGTGACCGCACCACCCTTCCAAGTGGTGTCGTCCTCTTTGACCGCACCCGCCCTCAAGCCGGTGTCGTCACCCCCTCCCCTCCACCTCCTCATGGCGGACGACTCCACTCCCATCGAGCTCGGAGCCATTGACAAGCTCGAACTCCTCCATGACACCACGGCCGTAAACTGGGCGTCGTTTGAAGATACGCTTCACACACACCTTGGCTCCGTCATCATTCAAGATTATTGCCTTCTTGATGTCGTCCTCGAGCACCCTAATGGCCTCCCACCTGTACTCCCCCCTCCCCTTGAACCTCCTCCCCCTAATGCCCCTCCTCCACCCGAGCCTCTTCCCGACCCCCCGCGTGCCCCAGTTCATGATGACAACCCGGATCGCTGGGGGGCCAACCTGAACGCTTACAACAGGCTTCGCGACACTTACACCCTCCAGCGTGAGGCGCACCGTGTTGCTGAAGCAGCACACACTGATGCTACTGCACGCCTCCTCTCCTACGCTCAAGACGAAAAAGACTATGCTGAGGAGCTTCGCAAGATCCACAAGGATGTTGCAGCATGGCGCATTGCTGATCGTCGTGCACTCGCCATCATCTTCTCCTGCATCCCCTCCCACCTCAAACGCGACCTTCGTCCCACCTCCTCCTCTGGACTCTGGAAAACCCTCTCTACTCAGTACGATCGTCAGGACCTTCGCTCCCTCCTCGCCCTTTTCCGCAAATTCCAAGACATCACTCTTGACTCCTCCCCCACTGCTGCTGCCTACACCCGTCGCCTCATTGACACTGTGCAACGCCTCAATGACCGCGGCATTGTCATCTCTGAGTCCCTTCTTACTGCACGCATCCTTGACTGCCTCCCTCCCACATATGACACCTACCGCATCACCTTCACCTCTCGCTACCGTCATCCTCCTCCTGTGGCTGACACCATCGAGTGGCTCCTTGACAGCGAAGCGGACATTCAACGTGACTCCGCCACCGTCAATGCTGTCCAGACCCGCAAAGCTACCACAGGCAACCACAATAGCGGAACAGGTGGCGGCCCAGGTGGCGCCGGTGGTGGTGGTGGTGGACGTGGTGGCGGCCGAGGCGGAGGACGCGGTGGTGGTCGCAGTGGTGGCCGTGGCGGACGCGGCGGATATCCCTCACCTTCAGGCACCCTCCCCCCGTGTCAGTACATCATCCGCTATGGCTCCAACAAAGGTCAGCCATGCTCTCAGACCACTCACACCACGGACACGTGCTTCAAAGCCCTCACGGACGAGTGGTTTGCACGTGGCAACGTTGGCACTCCACCTCGCTGGAACACTGTTTTCCCACGCCCCTCCATTCATGACATCCGCACCCTCCCCGCATATCAGCCCTCTACTCCCAACCTTCACAATGTCCTCACTCAGCATCTCCCATCTCACATCCTTCAACAAGTTCAGCATCTTCTCCCCTCCACTCCCACCACACCCACTCCTCCCCCATCCACACCTCCGCCTCAAGCCCCTCCCCCTCACTACCCTCCACCCTATGCTGGCTGGCCTTACCCTCCTTACCCACCTCCTGGATATGGTCATGCACCTATTGGACCTGCTGCCACTCCTGCTGAACCACCATCCTCCTCCTCCAACCCTCCTGGCTTTACTCCATTCCCCTCTGCTGGATTCATAGGACATGTTAGCACTCCACCTGCTGATTCTATGTATGCACATGCTATTAATGAGTCTCTCTTCCAGTACTCCGCCTTTTCCTCCTCCTCTTCATGCCTTGAGTTTATCCTTGACAGTGGCGCGACACACACTGTTCTGCGTGATGCAGGCACACTGGTACCCCTCCCCACTCCCTCCACTATCCACGGAGCTGACTCCAGCTTCACCATCACAAGTAGTCACACCTCCACCCTCCCCTGTCCCATCTTCCCCTCAGGTACAGTCACAGGTCTATACATCCCCTCCCTACGCAACAATCAGGTAGCACTGTGTGACCTCACCAGGTTCAATATCACCGCCCTCTTCCCCGGTCATGCACGCCACTGCGACCTCTTTCAAACCACCACTGGTCACTTCATCTGTCGCATTCCCCTCTGCCCTCGCACAAATCTGTACACGTACCGCACCCCTCGCACCTCCACTCACCACCTCATCGCCCCCACCTCACCCCTTCCCCTCCCCTCACCTCCGCTCCCCCCTCCCTCCCCACCTCCCATCCCCTCCCCCATCCCCTCCCCCCCTCCTCCCCTCCCCTCCCCCCCCCCCTCCCCCACCTCCTCCTCCTCCTGTCACTGTCGTGACCTCACCCACCCCGCAGTTCTCCTTCACCACAGGTTGGGTCATCCCAACTTTGCCACCCTCCGTCAAACCGTCTCCACCCAACTCCTCGACGGACTCCCCCTCACCCTTCCCCCTCTCCCCCCATCACCCTCCCCTCCCTGCTCAGTATGCGTTGAAAGCAAACTGAAACAGGCCCCCCACAAGAGTCATCCCTCCTTTTCTCCCCAGCCTCTTGATCTCGTCCACATGGACCTCTGGGGCCCCAACCCTTCCCCCACCAGACAAGGTCATAAATACCTGCTCATCCTGGTGGATGACCACAGCCGCTACTCCTCCGTCTCCCTCCTTCGCACGAAGGCGGAGGCCCCGGCTGCTATTATTGCTTGGGCTGAACAAGCACGCACCCATTTCAAACGGCCTGTCTCCCGCTTCCACTCTGATGGCGGTGGTGAGTTCCTTAACAACATGCTCTCATCCTACTGCACCACTCGTGGTATCATTCACACCCACACCCTACCTCATTCCCCTCAGCAGAATGGCGTGGCGGAGAGTAGGGTCCGTGAGGTCACCAAAACAGCTCGGTGCCTCATGGTCCATGCCTCCTGCCCGCCCTCTCTCTGGGGCTATGCCATCCTCCACGCTGCCATCCTCGCTAACTTGTACCCTCATCCCTCCCGGCCCACCACCACTCCCACCGCACTCTGGACATCCAAAAAGCCCGACATCACCCCCCTGCGCGTGTGGGGTTCCATGGCGTATGTTCTCATACACCCTGCCGACCGCTCACGCAAAGCTGGAAAGCTAGCCTCCCGCACTCTCCCCTGCATTTTCCTTGGTCACAACACCTCCTCCCCGGACTATCTCTTCCTCCATCCCCCCTCAGGTCGCCTCATTCGTAGTCGGGATGTGGAATTCGATGAAGCCCACCCGTACTACACCTCCCCCAAAGCCCCTAACCCCCTCCCTCTAACCACCCGTCCCTTCCTCTGGACTGACACCATTCCCCCCCCACCCCCTCTCCCCTCCCCTTCCCTTCTCCCCCCCCCCCATCATTGTCCCCCCTGCACCCCCTCCCCCCTCTCCCCCCGCCTCGTCAGGAGACATCCTTGACCCCGTCCACCCTCCCTCCCCACCCGCTGCCCCTCCCCCTCCTTCCCCATCCGCTTCCCCTCCCCCTTCCTCCCCACCCGCTGCCCCTCCCCCTTCCTCCCCACCCGCTGCCCCTCCCCCCCCTCCTTCCCCTCCGTCCCTTTGTGCAGAACATCCCCCGCCTCCCCCCTCCCCACGCCCTCCCCCACTCACTCCACCTCCGTCCTCACGACCCCTACTTCCCAATCCCCCTCTCATACTCCGCCACTACCCTCACACCCGCTCCACGGTCCCCATTCTTGGTACCCCAAGGTCCAACCCCCCCTCCCTCCAGTCTCTCACATCCATCCCCCTTCTCCGCCACCATAGCACCTCCCCTCCCCCCCGCACCAGCACCTCAGGTTCTCTCAGCAGTCGCGCTCCCGTCTCTCTGCCCCTCACGGCAACCCAGCGAAGCCGAGCTGCAATGCAGCTGTCTCCTCGCCCCGACCCTCAGCGCAGCAGAGCACGAGTGCACCTGTGTCCCCGCATCAGCCCGACCCACCAGCGCAGCTGTCTTGCAACTTCACCGCCTCCTCTTCCTCCTCCTCTCACTCCGGACCTCACTGAGGATTCTCATGATGAGCTAATGTTCCTCCACCTCCTCTCACCAACCGTCGCCCCCGTCGTCCGCACAATGGCTGGCACCACTGTTCTTCTCTTCTCCACCACCCCCACCATCTACGAACCCACCACCTATGAGCAAGCACTTGCCTGCCTTGATGCACCTCTCTGGATCGAGGCCATGGTCAAGGAGAGCAATGCCTTCATCAGCAACCGCTCGTTTATCGACGTCCCTCGTCCCTCAAAGCACAACGTGGTCCAAGGCAAGTGGCTCTTTCGAGTCAAACTACTCCCTGGCAACGCTCCGGTGTACAAGGCTCGATATGTGGCAAAAGGCTTCACACAGACCTATGGCTCAGACTTTTTCGAGACCTATTCACCCACCGCCACTCCACCGGTCATTCGCGTGTTTTTGGACTTTGTTGGCAGACGTGGGATGCTTCTTCACTCCATGGACGTCACCACCGCCTTTCTGCAAGGCGACCTTCATGAGCTCATTTTCCTGGAACGTCCCAAAGGCTTCCATGCTCCTCACGACCCTACCACTGTTTGGAAGCTGCTACGTCCTATCTACGGGCTCAAACAAGCACCTCGGGAATGGCACGCCAAACTCTCCTCCACCCTTCGCGAACTTGGCTTTCGCCCCTCCCGTGCCGCCTCATGCCTCTTCCTGCGCCTCACCCCATCACCCTTCTTCATCCTCGTCTACGTCGACGACATGCTGTTGGCCGCTGACACAACTGCTGACCTACAGGAGGTCAAGGATGCGCTGCAGAAACGCCTTGCCTGCAAGGACCTAGGGGAGGTTCGCAACTACCTCGGCATGGAGATCACTCGCGACCTCACTGCCAAGACCATCACCCTCTCTCAGTCATTTTACATCGAGAAGATTCTTGAGAGGTTTGGCATGACAACCTGCAAACCCATCCCCACACCACTTGCATTCGGGCATCAGCTCGCCCCTCCCACCACTCCCGTCACCTCCCCTCATCCCTACGCAGAACTTGTTGGGGCCCTGATGTACGCCATGGTCTGCACTCGTCCCGACCTTGCATACCCAGTCAGTGTTCTGGCGCAGTTCGTTGGCACCGGCAGGCATGGTGAAGAGCATTGGAAGGCGGCCATGCGTGTTCTTCGCTACCTTCAAGGCACGAAGGACCATGTCCTCACTCTGGGTGGTGTGAATCCGCCCATTCTTCAAGGCTTCAGCGACTCATCTTGGGCCGACGCACAGCCCGACCGTCGCAGCTCTCAGGGATATGGCTTCACACTTGGGGGCGGCCTCATCAGTTGGCGCTCCACCCGCTCCTCCTCCGTTGCCCTCTCATCCTGCGAAGCCGAACTGTACGCGGTCACGATGGCGGCTCAAGAAGCACGTTGGCTCAGCTATCTGCTCACCGACCTTGGCTCTCCACAGCCCCGCCCCGCCCTGTGGTGTGACAACGACAGTACCATCCACCTCACCAAGGAAGCAGTTTTTCATGGTCGCTCTAAACACATCGAGCTTCGCTACTACTTTGTTCGCGACCTTGTCCAAGATGGTCACATCACCGTTCGCAAAATCGCCTCCTCCGACAACCTCGCCGATCTCTTCACCAAGGCTCTCCACCGCTCCGACCACTCTGCGCTTTTGCGTCTCCAGGGACTTGCTCCCCGCGGTGGCTGACTCAGGGGTTGTTACTCTCTCTCTTCCCTAGCTTATGGATTTCTGTAGGTTAAGGGGTTGTGTCAGATTACCATCCTCATTGTAACCTACATCAATCCTATAAGCTTAGGCTAGAGATAGCCACCCAAACTTAGTTTGGGTGTAGAACTAGGGATAACCCTAGTTGGGGGTTGGAACTCCAACCTTGGCCCCAAGGTTGGGTTGGGAATTATTGGTCCCCCCAATAATGTTGAACCAACTTGGTCAACATTATTGATCCCCCTATCATCCCTCAACCCAACTTATTGGTGGGGGCCAATAATGTTGGCTTGGTTCCCAACCAACCCCTCCCCCCTTAGCACTACTATGTATACCTCCCTCTCTCCTAATGAATTCAATGGTTCTTCCTCTCGTTTTCTCACAGCTATGTCCCTCAACTCGCCCCACCCACCCACATACCCATCAGCCCCAACCCCATCACGTCTCACTCCCCCGCTATGGCCTGCATCTCGAGAGCGTCGCTGCGGATAGTGCGAGTGAAGAAGGGGTAGGAGGCGGCAGAGAGGGAGGGGTCGGGTCGGGACCCACATCCCCACCCCACACTGCTATAATCAGTCAGCCGTCACGTGCTGCTACCGTGCCACGCCCATCAGCACATCACGTCTCACTCACCCGCTATGGCCTGCATCTCGAGAGCGTCGCTGCGGATAGTGCGAGTGAAGAAGGGGTAGGAGGCGGCAGAGAGGGAGGGGTCGGGTCGGGACCCACATCCCCACCCCACACTGCTATAATCAGTCAGCCGTCACGTGCTGCTACCGTGCCACGCCCATCAGCACATCACGTCTCACTCACCCGCTATGGCCTGCATCTCGAGAGCGTCGCTGCGGATAGTGCGAGTGAAGAAGGGGTAGGAGGCGGCAGAGAGGGAGGGGTCGGGTCGGGACCCACATCCCCACCCCACACTGCTATAATCAGTCAGCCGTCACGTGCTGCTACCGTGCCACGCCCATCAGCACATCACGTCTCACTCACCCGCTATGGCCTGCATCTCGAGAGCGTCGCTGCGGATAGTGCGAGTGAAGAAGGGGTAGGAGGCGGCAGAGAGGGAGGGGTCGGGTCGGGACCCACATCCCCACCCCACACTGCTATAATCAGTCAGCCGTCACGTGCTGCTACCGTGCCACGCCCATCAGCACATCACGTCTCACTCACCCGCTATGGCCTGCATCTCGAGAGCGTCGCTGCGGATAGTGCGAGTGAAGAAGGGGTAGGAGGCGGCAGAGAGGGAGGGGTCGGGTCGGGACCCACATCCCCACCCCACACTGCTATAATCAGTCAGCCGTCACGTGCTGCTACCGTGCCACGCCCATCAGCACATCACGTCTCACTCACCCGCTATGGCCTGCATCTCGAGAGCGTCGCTGCGGATAGTGCGAGTGAAGAAGGGGTAGGAGGCGGCAGAGAGGGAGGGGTCGGGTCGGGACCCACATCCCCACCCCACACTGCTATAATCAGTCAGCCGTCACGTGCTGCTACCGTGCCACGCCCATCAGCACATCACGTCTCACTCACCCGCTATGGCCTGCATCTCGAGAGCGTCGCTGCGGATAGTGCGAGTGAAGAAGGGGTAGGAGGCGGCAGAGAGGGAGGGGTCGGGTCGGGACCCACATCCCCACCCCACACTGCTATAATCAGTCAGCCGTCACGTGCTGCTACCGTGCCACGCCCATCAGCACATCACGTCTCACTCACCCGCTATGGCCTGCATCTCGAGAGCGTCGCTGCGGATAGTGCGAGTGAAGAAGGGGTAGGAGGCGGCAGAGAGGGAGGGGTCGGGTCGGGACCCACATCCCCACCCCACACTGCTATAATCAGTCAGCCGTCACGTGCTGCTACCGTGCCACGCCCATCAGCACATCACGTCTCACTCACCCGCTATGGCCTGCATCTCGAGAGCGTCGCTGCGGATAGTGCGAGTGAAGAAGGGGTAGGAGGCGGCAGAGAGGGAGGGGTCGGGTCGGGACCCACATCCCCACCCCACACTGCTATAATCAGTCAGCCGTCACGTGCTGCTACCGTGCCACGCCCATCAGCACATCACGTCTCACTCACCCGCTATGGCCTGCATCTCGAGAGCGTCGCTGCGGATAGTGCGAGTGAAGAAGGGGTAGGAGGCGGCAGAGAGGGAGGGGTCGGGACCCACATCCCCACCCCACACTGCTATAATCAGTCAGCCGTCACGTGCTGCTACCGTGCCACGCCCATCAGCACATCACGTCTCACTCACCCGCTATGGCCTGCATCTCGAGAGCGTCGCTGCGGATGGTGCGCGTGAAGAAGGGGTAGGAGGCGGCAGAGAGGGAGGGATCCGTGGCAGAATAGGAGACCATTGGTACCTGGGAGACAGGGGGTTGAAAGGGGGGGTGAGCGAGGAGAGGAGGGGGGAAATACAGAAGGCGAAATACATGAGCGAGAGGCAACAAAGATAGGCGCGGCTGAGAGGGAGGGGTCCGTGGCGGAAGGAGGCCGAAGAGGGGAGGGAGCCCTATCATGGGGACCTGATGGATGGGGCGGGAGGAGGTAGGACGGGCGAAGAGGGAATGAATTATGAAAGGGTGAGACAAGGGGGTGGTTTGAGTGAGGAACATACAGACAGGAGGCAGGCGGCATTGTGACTCATGAGAGTCGGCTCAACCCAATAGTCCCTGGGGATTGGGCACACACACGCACGCGATCGAACACGCACAGAAGCACACACGCAACTAAATCACGCACGCACACAGGCAAGCACCCGCCTGCACTTGCGTATGGATGGCGGACAGCACGAGCGCCTGGGAGGAGGTCATCGGCCCCACTGCTGCCACCACCCTCTCTGCTAGCTAGCATTGTGCCCTTATGGGTCGCCACAAGCACGCAATGCAATCAAGCACTGCAAGCACGCTGCGCGCACCTGCACTTGTGTGTGGATGGCCGAGAGCACGTGCGCCTGGGAGGAGGTCGTTGGACCCACTGCTGCCACCACCCTCTCTGCTAGCATTGTCTGCACCACTGCAGGAGGTGTGGAAGAATGCCAATGGGGGAAGGTGGGTGGAGAGGAGGGAGGGTGGGAAAGGGAGGGCTCGCTGCTTCGACCACCCTCTCTGCCAGCATTGTCTGCACCACTGCAAGGGGGGTGTGAGAGAGACTCAACCACACTCGCATGGACAGGGGGAGCGGGAGAGAGGGTTGTACCTGCGGCGGCAGCCTGCGTGGTGGAGAGACTCGTGTTGACTGGCACGACCTCAATCCTGTAGTCTGGCAGCAGCTGGTCGTTGCCGTTGACCTGCGCCTCGGCCAATCGCACGGCTACACGTGGACAGGGACGGAAGGAAGATGGGGAAAGGAAGGCGAAAACAGGCGAAGGTGAGAGGAATGCTTATTGGAGCAAATAGAGAGTTGCTGTGAGCTTTGAGAATGAATTTCCCAGAACAACTATGCGGCTGAGCTTTGAACTTCACAACTTTCAGGTTTGACGACTAAGAGTAACAACGGGTGCGCGGAAAGGGACTGCACGCAACCGTAAGGACCTGCTTCCCACCCTTCCCAGCAAGCCAGCTGCTGCACTGTCGACTGCGGCAGTGTTGACCGTCACATCTCTGACGGCAAGACGCACGCACGCACCATGTCCCCCCACCACCCCCCCTTTCCCCCTCCACTTCACCTCGGCACGGCATTTGCTGCTACAATGGCGAATGCGGTTATATTACGTTTGATACATCATAATAAAATTCACCTCTGTATATGGCCTGGCCGAAAGGAATCTCCAGCGGCACGAAGCAAGCCACTTTGATAACCTGTTTCCCGCCATTATCCGCTGCAGCTGCTACATTATAGACAGTTGACGTTGCGATTGCTAACGAGGACGCTTCGGACGAGGCGACAGGAGCAAAGGAATCGGCTGTAGCGGTGGCTGGCAACCCTAGAAAGGACAATGTGAGTGCTAGCCACAGCATGGCTGGTAACCCTAACGAAACGAGCAGCTTCTGTTGATGACATGAACACGAATGCTTGATTAGGTCCATCCTTCACACAAAGTCTGACTCTTGAGTCGACTCAAAAGTCTGACTCCTGATTACGAATAGCAGAAAGAACAGGACGGAACAGGACGCCGAAGGGAATGCCGGAACAGCAGGACGCCGGACTACTTAGCCGGCTATTCTGCCAATGGGACACCAGGACAGCCCCTGTCACGACGAGTTAAAATAGAGACTACCCGTCGCTTCCAAATCTCAGGAATCCCGGCATCTTGTTGCCATACGAACAAGGCAATAAATAGGTGACTATGCCAATTTCAGCAGCACGTCCCGTCCGTCTCAGCAAGCAAGTTCGCGAAACCCTAAGTTAGTGGTGCTAAACTGCAGAGAGGAAGGGAAAGAAAGCATTCTTTAGGTCGGTCGGTAGGTAGGTACCGTACGAAAATTATTTGTGCCGTCGCTTGTCAGTCAACAGTACATACACGTGATGCGCAGCCAATGCCCGCGCATCTGGTCTGTCCAATCCCGATCGCTTGCCCTTTTGCAGGTACGGACGGGCAGTTGCCCTCATCTTACAGACCCCCTGGACAAGTGGTTTGGCGAGCGCGGCTCGTCAATTTCGCGACATGGGGATGGGGACAGCATTTGTTGCTCCCAAGAATTGACAAACCGCGCTATATAAACCACCCTGGCGAAGCCCTTAGCGAAGAGCATTTGCTCCTCGCCATGCTTTCGCCTTCGCTCGTACGCCACGTAGCTCGGGCAAGGTGTTTCAAACGCGCTGTGCAGCGGCAGCAATGTGCCACGCTGTCGAAAGTTGACGGTGTCGCAATGTTCGATTTCAAACCCAAATGTCACACCCTCCTTTCACAAACACAGCACGCCTGCAACCAACCTTGGTTACATGCTGTCACAGAGGCGTAACCACGCTCAGGTTCATTGGCAGGGAGTGACACCATGAACACACACCACAGCACGAAACAAGCCCCGGGACTAGTGTATCACATCCCCTGCCACAATATAAACCCGACGAATTTCCCACTCTAATCATCCTCTCTCACACCAACATTTGCCTAGCATGCCTCGTTTACTCAAACGCTCACAGCTTCCTCTGTATGTTAAGCGCGCGGTATGTAGCTACCACACCAACCACCCTCACCTGCGCCAGGAAGACATCGCCCGATGGTGCTTTACGCGGTACAGTGTCCGTTCCGATCGCACGACGATCGGGCACGTGCTTCGTAACGAGGCCCGATGGAGCCGCACGGCTGAGAGCACCAATACCCCTCGAGTGCGTGGTGGGGCTCACCCGCAGCTGGAGCAACGCATCATTCGTTGGATTCACCACGCGGGGGAGGACGGCGTTCCTCTGACATTGGCGACCATCCGCCATCACGCTGCCGGAATCGCCCGCGACGTGGGCATTCCCGCGTCCTTCCGGTGCTCGGTCGGGTGGGTGCGCCGCACACTGCAGCGCCATGGCGTGCGGTGAGGCTGCCGACCAAGATCTCGCGGCGGTTACAACATGCCGGACGCAGCTGCCGTAGCTTCTCATGCATCTCGCGGTGGTGCCGACGGATGTTTTCAACTTCGATGAAACCGCCCTTTACATCTCGGTGCTCCCTCGCAAGACGTATGGCACGGCGCGCGTGGCTGGCCGCAAGATCCCCAAGGAGAGGCTCACGGTGGGCTTCCTTATCAACGCGGACGGCACCCACCCGTTTCGTCCCCTTGTTATCTCGAAGTCGAAGCGCCTGCACGACTTCCGCCCGGAATACGACCCCGAGATGTTGTGCTGCTGGAGGTCCAACAAGAAAGGGTGGATGACGTCAAAGGTGTGTGAATTGTTTCTGTTTTTTCTAGATTGCTTATGTGCATCAACATCTTTGACGTCGTCATTTCATCTAATTCTCTCCCTCCAACTCCCCACCCGCCCGTCACCTTCAGCTCTTCACCGCTTTCACGGAGCACCTCAACGCTGCGATGTATGCCGAGAAGCAGCACATCATCATCCTGCTCGACAACGCGAGCAGTCACGTGCTAAAGACAGAGACGGCGACGGCCGAGGACTTGTTCAGGTTCGCACCCGCTCGCTATCCAATATCCGGCTCGTTTACCTCCCCCCGAACACCACGTGTTTCACGCAGCCCCTTGATCAGGGGTTGATCGCTATGGCTAAGGCGCGGTACCGGGCGTACTGGCTTCGCGCTTTCACGGCCGACTGGAACGCACGCGGAGCGCGGGGGGCGATGACGCGCTATCGTCCCAACCTCCGCGACTCGCTCTCGTGGCTCAGCGATTTGTGGATCACCATCAGCCCGAAGACGATTCAGCGGTGCTGGTGGCGGACCGGCTGCCTCCCGGCTGCGTGGGAGATGCAGCTAGAGCATGTAGGGGCCGCTGCTGATGTCGACGAGGAGGCCGGGGACGAGCTCGAGGAGGAGCTTGGCGACGTCCGCGCGTTGATCCGCCACCTCAACCTCGGGCCGAGCGCCATGGCGGCGGCAGAGTTTGTCGCCTTGGACGACATGGAGCCGACTTGCGAAGAGCCGGGGGAGGATTCGCTGGCGGTAGAGCCTACCACCGAGGCGACGGCATCTTCTTGGGACCAGCCAATCCCGTTTGCTGGTGTCTATGATGACACCGACCCGGTGACGCGCGAGGCAAGGCGCAACGCGAGGTCGGCCTGCGAAATGCTTATCGGCTACTCGCGCGCCATCGGGATCGAGCCGCGTGACATTAGCCACCTTTTCGACATCCGCAACCCGATCATTGTGGAGCGGCTCGAGAGGGCAAGCCCTCGTCTTCATCTGAACGAGCCCGCTGCCGCACCAACTATGGAGCCTGCTCGTCGTGGTCGCGTCCTCCCGGCGTGGATGACGACGCCGTCGCGCCGTCAGCAGCTGATCAACGGCGGCATAACCGCGGCCATGGGAGGCTACCCTGAGTCGGCCGAATGGTTCCGCATCTAAGTGATGCGATGACGAGCACGAGCAGCTGGGTGAAAATGTGCACACCTTGTGCACATTTCACGAAGCCATGTGGAGTTGTAACTGGCTTCCAACTGGGCTTCGTGCGATGGGCTGTTGGGTTTCACAGCCCTGTTTGTAATGAATTGCGTCACTTGATGTATGTGTTGTTGATGCATTCATAATGACGCGTGGTAACACGCAACGTGAACCAACAACAAAGTTTGCAACACGGCACTGTTTAGAAAAAAAAACACATTACAACTCTTGTTTTTTTAAGACCCATTTGCCTTTTGGCGAAATGAGCGAACCTGGACGAAATGCATTGCTCATTACATACCCATATTGACGCAAACCTTGTGAGACTCAAACGGGCATCTGGTGTACTGCGACAACGGCATTCCCTTGGACCTGCCTCGAGTTTGTCGCAAATGTTCCTCCGCGCGTCACCATTGGTGGAAAACATCGCACCAACCATTGGTGAGGCGATGCCTCGAGGCCTCACGTCGACCAGAAAAATGTGGGGCACATCGATGTTGTCGACTAGTTACTGTTCTGTGGCGATGCGCAAAAATATAGGGGTACCAATGACTACACTCTGAATTACTAGCATAGCATAAGTTGGCTAGCTGCTCTTCTAATAAGTCCTAGCATTTTAACTACGCCAAAAACCTCACACCTTCTAATTCATAAAATCCTCATTCTTTTCATGCATGACAAATACTTCAACCAAACTATCTGATTACCTGATAAGTATCATTGTATTCCCTTTCCTGTTTCCATAGAAAATGTTTGAGACATACTAGGCCCGCATCCATAATTGTAGCCTAACTCGTTTGCCATCTACAATGACTGCTTACTCCTTTGGCTTATGCATGTGCCCAGTTGACTTTCTGGACATGCATTGTCCTTCGAATCAAAACACTATGTACAATGCTGCAAGACCCATAACAGGGTCTAAAAAACCCCTACCCAAATCCAATGGATAAAATGTACACAGTAAACTAGCAAGCACATGCAACTCACCGCCATCTGATTGTAATACCCGTTCGTACCTGCATCCATCCACCCGTATCACACATGTCCAAGATACGTCGCACAAACCAAGCTCCTGAAACCTCTCAGGGTGTGTTCCTACGGCCCCTTATCAGGCGAACCTCTTGTCAGATTCACGTCGCAACGCACTGGAACACATGTAATAACATTCGATCACACTGAAACGCATGGAACCGCACAAGTATGACAAGAGGTCGGCTGATAAGGGGCCGTCGGAACACGCCCTCAGTGGTGTGGTCAAAACCCGGTATGGGGCCTCTTATCAGTTACAACTATGGGCCGCGGCTCAACCTCCCACAGCATTGCCCATCAACAGTACACACGTCTAACACTCTTCTCCACCAATCAAGCTCCACAAACCTCACACTGGTGTGGTCAAAACCCAGTGGGTGGCCTCTCATCAGTAACAACAATGGGCAGCGGCTCGATTTCCCGTGGCCTCAGGTAGGGTCCCCTGCGGATCGCCTCAGCCAGCTGGTGTGATGCAAGAAGGGAGAGAAGGGGGGGAAAGAGGGGGACTAGGGTGATGGCGTTGGTGGTTGGCAGAAAGGGAGACTAGGAAAGTGGCCTCAGGTAGGGTCCTCTGCGCACCGCCTCGGCCAGCTGACGTGATGCAAGGAGGGAGGCCAGGGAGGGAGGGACAACGAGAGAGGACAGGGAATGGTGACTATAGGGAGTGACTAGAGGGAGTGACTACCTCCAGTCACTACCCTTGGTCCTTTTTGCAAAAACCAAGGTACTAGAGGGAGTGGCTGACAGGACCAGACTGACTGAGTGACAGGTGGCAGTGGTTGACAGGTGGCAGTGGCTGACAGGTGGCAGTGGCTGACAGGTGACAGTGGCTGACAGGTGACAGTGGCTGACAGGTGGCAGTGGCTGACCTGCGCAGTGCAGTTGAAGGAGATGGATGCGTGTTGTGCCTCTGCTGCTGTTGACATGGCCACACAGCATGAATGCCTCCAATCCATGGCTGCCACGTGGCAGGGGAGGGTGAAGTGGGGAGGGATGGGTAGCTTGGATACACGAAGGGCGTTGCGTGTGGATCCGTCAATGCCCCCCCAACGCCTCCAGTGCCCCCTCAATGCTCCCTCAATAGCCCCCCAACCATCCAACAATGCACGCCCCGTCACCTGTCGTGCCCCTCACCTGCTTTGTGCCTCTCCGCCTGTGCGTCTGTCACCATCCGCACCAGACCCCAATCCCCACACAGCTCCACTGCCGCCCACTTGCCTGAGCATAAGCGCCCCCTCTGTTGCCCACTTTCCGGGTTCACAACCTCATCAGTCTCGTGCCTCTTTGCGTGTAAACCTGTCACCATCTGCACCAGACAAGCATTCCCAGCGCTCACCTGCTTTGTGCCTCTCTGCCTGTGCGTCTGTGACCATTTGTACCAGGCCCCAATCCCCACACAGCTCCACGGCTGCCCACTCCCTCTCCACCACTGCTGCCAGCAGACGGTAAACCTGCAAAGATAGCAACAGAGATGCACGGAGCAGAGACGAAGAACGAGACACAAGCCCAGGGTGTTTGAGAAAGGTGTTTGAGACAGCCTCAGGGTTCTTCACAAGCCCAGTCCTCCACACAGCTCCACTGCCGTCCAATCCCTCTCCACCACTGCTGCCAGCAACGCGAATCTCCTCAGAGCGCATGAGCAGAGAGACAAACACGCCCTGCCAGACACTTTGACTCGACTCAGAACGGAAATTGCACGAGTGCGCCAGCAAGTAAGTGTGACTGAGAGACTCACAGCATATCTCCTCTGAGCGCTTGAGCAGAGACTCGAACACGCCCTGCCAGATACTTTGACTCGACCAAAAAATGTAAACTGAATGAGTCGGCAAGTGTGAGTGTGACTGTGAGACTCACAGCGACCCGGATCTCCTCAGAGCGCTTGAGCAGAGAGACGAACACGCCCTGCCAGGTGCAAGGCACAGTCCCATGTGCGATGCAGCACCATGCCACACACCCACAACATGCCATACGATGCCATGACATGCCATGCCACAGAGGAACCCAACAACCAAAACCATAACACATGGGTTATGTTCATTAGAACAGGCAGAGGATACATTTGATTCCCCGGTGTCAACTAAGGGTTACTTTAGCCATCAACCCGCCAATAACTGGTTTGAGACCATACTCATAATTTCACCAAACAACGAGGGACAACTACAATCCCGCAGGTGGAGAATGATTTTTTAGGGCCGACAAAACAGAGGTTACTCACTCACCTCCAGGGTGGGTCCTCCCGGTGCTTTGGCCGCAGCAGTAAACGTCTCTTCCTTGAGCTTCGTCTCCCCATCGTCCCCCACCTCTAAATCCATCCCTTCACCTCCCCCACCGGCTCCTCTCCCTCCCCCCTCATCCACCCCGCTGATTCCCGAGTGGGTGGCATGCACTGGCACCATCTGCACGGGCTTGCTCCCTTCCACTCTGTCTGCTCCGAAAACGGAAGCCAGCGCATGTAGAGAGGCCTGCATGTTGGAAGGGGAGTGGCGCAGAGTGGGAGGAAAGGAGGGGGGTAAAGAGTGGGTGCCGTGCACTGGCACCATCTGCACCGGCTCGCTCCCTTCCACCCTGTCTGCTCCGAAAACGGAAGCCAGCGCATGTAGAGAGGCCTGCGTGTTGGAAGGGGAGTGGCGCAGAGTGGGAGGAAAGGAGGGGGGTAAAGAGTGGGTGCCGTGCACTGGCACCATCTGCACCGGCTCGCTCCCTTCCACCCTGTCTGCTCCGAAAACGGAAGCCAGCGCATGTAGAGAGGCCTGCATGTTGGAAGGGGAGTGGCGCAGAGTGGGAGGAAAGGAGGGGGGTAAAGAGTGGGTGCCGTGCACTGGCACCATCTGCACCGGCTCGCTCCCTTCCACCCTGTCTGCTCCGAAAACGGAAGCCAGCGCATGTAGAGAGGCCTGCGTGTTGGAAGGGGAGTGGCGCAGAGTGGGAGGAAAGGAGGGGGGTAAAGAGTGGGTGCCGTGCACTGGCACCATCTGCACCGGCTCGCCCCCCTCCACTCTGTCTGCTCCGAATATAGAGGCGAGAGCATGTAGAGAGGCCTGCAGAGACGAAGGGGAGTGAAGCAAAGTGGGAGGAGGAGGGGGGGGGGGGGGTTGAAGAATGGGTGGCATGCACTTGCACCATCTGCACTGTTTCGCTCTCCTCCACTCTGTCTGCTCCAAAGACGGAAGAAAAGAAAGCGCATGTCGAGACGACTGCAGATACATGGTGGGGGAACAAGGAGGGAAGTGGGGACATTTGAATCATGTGAGCGACTTTAAATAATGCTCAGGAAACGGGTGGCAAGCATGCACCTGGCAGCACCACCTGCCCTGGCACCCATCATGCGCCCCTGCCACAATGAGCCCTTGCCACCATGTGCTTCTGCCACCCTCTTCCCTGGAAACATTCACGAAGCACTCACTGTGTGCAGGGAGGTGTGAGGGCCGCAGCCCCTGAACGCATGCTTGAGAACGAAACTGATGACACAAGCAGGTAGGCTTAGGAACACTCACAGTGTGCAGGGAAGTGTGAGGACCGCAGCCGCCGAACGCATGCTGGAGAACGAAACTGAGCTGATGACGTGAACACAGAGGGGTGCAGGGCACTTAGAGTGTGCAGGAGCTAGGAGCACTCAAGACGACTCACAGTGTGCAGGGAAGTGTGAGGACCGCAGCCGCCGAACGCGTGCTTGAGAACGAAACTGATGATGTGGCGACGGGGGTTGAGCAGCAGACGAGTGCCATGTGTGGCTGGAAGGAGAAAAGTGTTGGAGGAAACAAGGATGAGAGGAGAGGGCAAGGTGGGAGGGGGTTGAGAAGCAGACAAGCGCTGTGTGTGGCTGGCAGCGAGACAATGTGTTAGGGAGGGTTTTGAGGCGCCTAAGAAATCGTCTCAGTTCACGCGGATTGGATACGGGGAATGTGGTCAAGTGCTGTGTGTGACTGGCAGCGAGA